AACGGAAATAGATTGTGCCATTAACCAATTAAAAGGTGGTCTAAAGTCAGTGGCACTTTTTCATTTTATAAACTCATAAATTAATAAGTTATATATCTCTAGGCAGGTCCACAATGCACATACATGTTCTTATTACACATACAGGGATGTGCAGCAGCACACAAACATCTTTAAATATAAACATTTTAATGATTAAAATGTAGAAGATGATTGTTGTTTACATGAATATGAAAACCGCCACTGTCTCCCATGCCTCTCTAATCTCGAGGGGCTTTGGTGTTAACTGTTTTGTACTATAGATGGCCTGCTCGTGCACTTTAAGCATTCAGTTTTTTCAGTCTGCCATGTAAATAATGAATCACCCATGGTGCGACTGCAAATTCCTTTCAAAATGAATGTGAGATGAGCGTCTGATTGGTTTAATGCACATTACATCCATACCTCATTAAGAGACTGACAACCATTTTTGCCCCTGTGCCATCCTCTGTAGACAGTGTGCTTAGATTTGCAACATTCTTCAGTCTTTTTGTACTTCATTTTAATGATTAAAAAAGGGGTCGCCACAGCGGAATGAACCGCCAACTTATCCAGCAAGTTTTTACGCAGCCGATGCCCTTCCAGCCGCAACCCATCTCTGAGAAACACACTCATACACTACGGACAATCTAGCTTACTAAATTCACCTGTATGTCTTTGGGCTGTGGGGGAAACTGGAGCACCCGGAGCAGCAGAAACCCACGCGAAGGCAGGGAGAACATGCAAACTCCACACAGAAACATCAACTAAGCCGAGGTTGGAACCAGCGACCCTCTTGCTGTGAGGCGACAGCACTACCTACTGCGCCACTGCCTCGCCTCATTGGCTACTAATTTTCAACATTTTTCAAAATATCTTCCTAGCTATTAGGAAAAATGAAGCACTATGTAAAATTGGCATGGGATATCACTTTAAATCTGTACAATATGCAGGAATCCCCCACTTTGACCAAATAAGTCACACACTTTTCGTTTTGGAGTTGTTGTTGTTTTTATTTTGGTATAAATCAGGAACTGAAATCATAATTCACATTTTACAATTAACCTTTTTTGTTGGTGTTTTTAGAGAGGAGCAGGAGAAGCTGAACATTTGGGTGGCCATGCTGAATTTGGAGAACATGTACGGGACACCAGACAGCTTGCAGAAAGTTTTCGAACGGGCCATCCAGTACTGTGAACCTCTTCTCGTGTACCAGCAGCTGGCCGACATTTATGCCAAGTCGGAAAAGATCAAAGTGAGCATTATGTCTGCTGTCGTGAATTGTTTAATGATATATTCTGGCTTGTTATGGGGTGGTTTATGATATTTTGACTTCACTTGGCACTTGCGCTCCTGTGAAGATATCGTATAACATCATAAAGATTTTTCTACTTATTTACTTTTAAATTTATTGTTGAATAATTTATGTCAGTTTCTGTTAATATCAGCATATTTCAATGATTTCTGAAGGATCCAATGACCCTGAAGTTGAGTAATGAGACTGTAAATTCAAATAACTTGAATCACAGAAATAAACTATATTTTAAAATGTATTCGTAGAGTAAACATTATCGAATTTGACTGGCTTTGAGAGAAAAACAAACACCTCAAGAGTCCAAAAGCATCAACTGTGAGATGAATTCTACTTAAACCTGTATTAGACTATAGTTAATCTACTTAAAAGTGAAGTTATGAAAGCAGTAGTTAATAAATATCACATGTAAATGTGTTATTGAGTCACAATAATATTGAGTCACATTTTAGATGTGAATAATATCTTAGTTTTTCTGTTTCATATGTTGTGTTTTTATCCCCCTAAAGGATTCTGTTTTTCAAACAATTGAGTGAATCAGTGAGTCGTTTGTATATGAATCAAAGCCAATGAATCAGCTATTTTGAATAATTGATTCAGTGAATCGCTCATTAGGACAGACTTGCTGCCATTTATTGATCATTTTAGTGTCACATTTGTTTATCTACACTTTATTCTTTGTGCGTAGGAGGCTGAGAGTCTTTATAAAAGCATGGTGAAGCGCTTCAGACAGGACAAAGCAGTTTATCTGAGTTACGGCACTTTCCTGCTTCGACAACGGCAGAGCGACGCTGCCAATGCCCTTCTGCAGAGGGCGCTGCAGAGCCTGTCCAGTAAAGAACGTGAGTCACAGCTACATTAAATACTTCACACATGCGTTGTCTGTTTGCAGCTCATGCTTGTGTCTCCTTGATGTGTTTTCCAGATGTGGACCTCATTGCCAGATTTGCTCGGCTGGAGTTTCAGTTTGGGAATTCAGAGAAAGCCAAGTCTATGTTCGACAAGGTCCTCACTACATACCCCAAACGCACAGACCTGTGGTCTGTCTTCATAGACTTAATGGTGAAGCATGGCTCTCAGAAGGAAGTGAGGTAAGCACAGCTGCACATCGAGACTGGTGGGAAAATAAATGAAGTCTATGGGAATCTTTCTGTGTGTCTGTATTATGAATGGATTCTGGACACTTTTAATCTGATCTATCAAACCAAATCTACCTTTAGCATTTTATTTAGTTATGATTATTAGATTTAGAGTTGATACTTTATTTGCAATTTTTAAAACATTTAAAGGAATGTGTAAATAAGAAGTTTTTTTCTGTTCCATTCAATGAGCTTTAAGGATTTTTATTGTGTTGAGTGAAATAGAATCTTTACATTTAAAAAAAATTACATATGCAATATGATATAAAATATGTAATGTAATATAAATATAATAAAATGTATATATGTATTTTTTTCTTAAAATAAAATCATTTCAGTAACATTTTGAAGAAAAAAAATCTATTTTGTGTTTAGAGTGTAATGAATAGAGTGGTCCCTCGTTATTCACGGAAGTTACGTTTTAAAAATAATCCACAATAAGTGAAATCTGCGAAGTAGTCTGCTTTATTTTTTACAATTGTTATAATTATTACACTTTTCTCTCTCGTTTACACACTGTAAAAGTTCAATTTTTCTAGAAAAATAAGTCCAGTATTATAGAACGAAACCAAAACTCTAAACCTGTTTCCAGTCATAAACATTCATCGCTGTCAGCAAAAGGTACCATCCCATCCGTTTCCATCCACCTATTTTTATGTGCAGGATGAGCATAAATTTTAAAAATAGACGTAAAAAAACATATGAGCATAACTGAGTAGAATAAACCTTTTATTCGATAGGAAAAGATGCCCATAAACAACGATGTAAAGACTTTTACCAAACAAACTCCAGTAAGCGCATTAAAAAGTCATGTGCTTTTGTTATAAGAGATCATGTGATAATAAAATTGTGTGTGAATGGATAATCCAGCAGGCTGAGCACAATGTAAACCATCTGAAATGTTGTTTTGGTCTTTCTAAAACGTCTTAACTATTTCAGTATTAGTGTTATTTTATTACTAATGACCTCCAGAATCAAGAGTGTCTGTGCTCCGCGTCTCATGCCTTCAAACGCTACCTTGCGTTTAGTGTGTGTCAGGATTGCCTTCTGATGCCAAGTCATTTATTAAATGAAGAAAAGATTCAAGCAGCTTCTCTTATCGCAGCAAATTCTGTTTTTAGTGTTAATATTCAGCGCTAATTAATCAGGAAGTGACAATTTTTTTCCGCTTTGACTCATTGAATGGAAATGCTACTGTATTTGCATATCTTTTATGCGATAATCCAATTTTGCGCATGAAACTAATTTGCATTTTTGGATGCAAAAATAGCTAATGATCCACAAAATAAAAGCATATCAGATACGCCGTGAACATGACAGTTGGAAGTAACACACCCCGAGCGCGCATATTCGCATGTTTTTTTAAATGAAAGTATTCAGATGGCTCGGCAGAAATATGAACAGTGTCCTGAGTCGTAGCTGGGCGCTGCAAACAGCCGCTGACTTGTGGTGCCAGTGTGTGTACCCTGATATAAACCTATGTTTACAATTCTAAAATGCATGGTGCAATGCATTAGGTGATGGTCTTGCTGCGGACAACTCTTTGGATCCTTGTTGGAACTCACACTGCTAGCGATCGACAATTTAAGTTTGGCTGAACTTATTCTGTACTGTACAGGAAACACGGAGGAGATTGATTAATTGACAATGGTCTTCAGCCAATCAGGATGCAGAACAAAATGCGTTGTTAAAAAAAAAAAAAAAAAAAACATGTCAAATTGCACTAAAACAAATCTGCGAAACTGTGAAAGGTGAACCACATTACAGCGAGGGACTACTGTAATTAATTCATGATACATAATACTTCATTCATACTACAAAAATGTAGCCACCACTGTTTTTTGGGAAGGGGTTTGCCTTATTTGCATTTTATTTTGTATTTAACTTGTCTTATTTTTTCCTTTTTTATTTTAATTAGTATTTTTGAAGTAAGTAAATGATATGAGACTGTAACAATCTAAACATTCATGAATTATGAATTCAAATACGATCAAATATATTTTATACTATGCAGGGAAAAATGTTTATTGCTATTTATGTTTTCACATTAACGTTTCTGAATTCTACTTTGCTTCAACCAATTAATTTTCAAAAAATGTTTTCCCTCCGTCTCCAGGGAGCTTTTTGATCGCGTGATTCACCTGAGCGTGTCGGTTAAGAAGATCAAGTTCTTCTTCAAGCGTTACCTGGAGTACGAGAAGAAGAACGGCACACCTGAGACCATCCAAGTGGTCAAACAGAAAGCTCTCGAATATGTGGAGTCAAAAGGAGCTGAAGCCACCAGCTAATGCACCTGTTTTACATTTAACGACAAAGACTCTTTTATTGTCCAGCCAAAAGTTCATTCCTCTGCTTTTTTCAGCTATTTAAAAGTGTCTATAGGTGCATTAGTGACGTTTGCATCTGTTAAATCATTAAATGTGATAAAATATGATTATGAATTAAAAACAGTCCTGTAATGTGGAGACATGCAATAAAGATCTTACTTTCTAAAGCTCCAGAAAGTGTTTTTATTAATAAAAAAAGAGGGATAACCACGAAAACATGACATTTTATTTAAAAACAAACAATACAAAATAAGTAAAAGGAACAATTCAAGCAATGAACACAATATTGGATAAGAACTGCTGGTTATATATTGAATATTTCTGTAAGAACTACGCAGGATCTTCATCAAAGGGAAAGTTCACCCCCAAAAACTGTGCTGTTCATTTATTAACCATCAAGCCAATCAAGATGGTGACCATTTTCTTTCCAGAAGAATGTTATATTTAAAAAATACTAACTTAGTGGCTCATAAAAAGTGACTAAATTATCACTTTGAGAGTCGTATAAACTAAATTAATACCCAGGCTCCAAATGATACAAGTGATCAGTCTTTGCAGGAAACTAAGCATTACTATTACCACACAGTTCAGTTTGCGAACGATTCGTTCTTTTGAACCGATTCTTTTTAGAGAGCTGGATGAAGCACTTCATTAAATCAGCCTGAACTACGAATAAATAAGCACTGGTCTACAAGTTACTTGATCAGATTTCACATCTGAATGCGCTCGACAGTCATTCCTTTTTGAAAAGAGCCGCAATACTGATGTGTGGGATCTTTTGATGCCGTTTATCGCAAACGTATTCAGCACTTCAGTTACTTCAACCATGTCTGAACTGAGGAAACAACGCTGATTCAATCTGCGCATGCTTAAACAGAATTTGACTTTTATTGTAAGATGAGGAATAGCTTAGTCACTTTATATGCTTTGTGCATTTAAAACTATTGTTATTATAAGTATAAAATACTAATTTTATATTTTTATTAGGGGATTTAATCATATGAAATCTTGCTCGTTTTGTCACAGCCCGATAACTATGGAGCTAATTATATGCCAAAACAATCTGAATTTGAATTGTGTTATTTTGGATTATTGACAATTGTATTTAATAAATCTGAATATTTATATGCTGTTAAAAATTGTTCAGATTTTCTTAATTTAAAAACTCGCACAGCTCAGTGATTGGCCAAAATGCTTAGTTTGACTCTCCCCTGTTGATCACCCCTGACCTAGGCTGTTTCTCAATATGCATTCTTAAGCGGTCTTGCGTCTTCATGTAATGTCATCATCAGCTGCCAAAGTTCAGTTTCAACACTCAAAACTGCAAGAATGGAGGAAGCGTAAAACTTTCCGGATGTGTTCTCGATATCGAGGACGCACCGATGCAGACTTGAGCTCTTAACTCGCTCGAGAAGTCCCAGTAGTCATTGCCACTGAAGGTGGGAAGCGCAGCTTTTTATATAGATTAATAAAGTTCAGAGATATAACTTATTTATCTTAGGAATTTCCCTAAATGAAACGGTGAAAGTAAACATCACCATGAAAATTTTATTAAAGGAATGAACACATTAAGGGTTTTAATTTTCTGAAATTTGTATTAAAATCTGTTTTATTTACATTGTGCAACATATCTGTAAAGTCTTTATGCAGAGTAGATATTTTGAAAAGGGGAAAAATAATAAATTGTTGATTGAATGCTGTAATGTATAAATATTTTCCATTAAAAACGTGTGAAGGTCATGTGACCATCAGGAAGAACACACCATCTCATTTCTCAGAGGATGCGTTCGCTGTTCTTGTGGTCTCCAGAGCTCGTTCTTCCGAGGTGACCTGGCAAGACTGATCTTCACAAGAACGCAAGTCTGTTCTTTGCATTCTTGGAATTTAGAAACAGCCCTACTCTCTGCTGAATCTGAATTTCTGGTTTAGAATTTTAGAATATTGAATTTGATGTTCTTAATTTCTTCATCTTGTAAATTTGAAACTGTATTTTTACAAACTGGATATCTGTGAATTCAGAACACAAAGTCTGAAGTTTGAAAATGCGTCTAAAAAATCAGCCTTGAAAAATTCAGTTGTCTTAAATTTCAGATGTTCAATATTCCAAGTTATGACGTTTAAATTATAAAATTCAATTTAAGAAACTCAAAAAAATTTTAATGGCATGTACACATTCAGATTTATTAAACTACAATTGTCAATTACTCAAATGAACACAATCCAAATTCAGATTGTTTTGGCATGTTATTAGCTCCATAGATGACGAACTGAATCAGTCCAACAGAACCAGTACGACGAATCAAATAGGATCTCCATTTACACGAGGTGGATTAATGTTGTTGTTAGTAATGTTCATTTTCTTGCACAGCCCGTGGATTTCGCTTCGTATCATCAGGGCAGAAGCCGCAGGTATTAACCTGCTTTGGTTTACCTTTTTTCATCTCTCATCATAGTGATGGTTGCCGTTGACTTCATTTCATGAATGACCTCAGACCGCGGTTTCAACTAAAAACATTCTTCTGGAGAACAAAACACAACTCTCATGACCCGAGGGTGAGTAAATTAATAGCACATTTAAGTTTTTTTCTTTTATGAACTACCCCTAATGAAGACCTGTAGTACCAGTCGAACAGATAGTGCACTAAAGTTACACCTACACCCTATTATCACATATACAAGGCCGTTCATGGACAGCACAGGTGTTTAATTACCGAAATGTTTTCTTTTGTTGCCTGGTTGGATCTCCTGAGACGTTTACCTCACGTTTTTGACGTCCGTTACCCAGCATGCACGGTGTGTGTGTGTGTGTGTGTGTCGTTTTAAAACCTCAGCACGAAACTACTATTAAAGTATAGTGTGTGGCACGATATATAGGAGATTACTGGTATATTTGGGTACTGGCGATATGGTACTGATTCACTAGTGGAGGCTGAGCGCTGGCGTCCTGGTTTTTCTGGCGTTCTCCGGGTCCGCCGTTTTGTTGGAGGTGCATATTATTGGTGGCTACGGGGAGCCTTGGCAGGTCTTGTGATTTGTTCCAGCGATTGCAGAACTAGAGGGCGTTTTTAATGTGGCCTTGTTGGGCCGTACAGTTTGTGGGTTCACACCTCCTCGGGGTCCTGAAGCCCCTCTGCTCCTCGCGGTGCGTCGGGGTTTTGTAGACGCATGATGGGTTTATTGCACATAGGGCAGACGCTGCGGATCTCCAGCCACTTCAGCAGGCACCTGCGGGGGTTACAAAGACACGACGAGACATTTGTTTTATTTTCAGGGTTTCCACACTTGTAACTACTCAGAGTTTCTGCAGGGTCTTAAAAAGTCTTAAATCTCAAAATCTAAATTTTAGGCCTTAAAAAGTCTTACATTTATTGAAATATTGTGTTGTAGGTCTTAAAACTTTTTTTAACAGGTCTTAATTTCCCTATTGCTTTCCAATCTGGCCAAAACCCAAACTATCACCAACAATCAAACTCAATGAAACTTTCAAGTTATTATTTAAAAAGGTAACTTTTAACTCTGTTTACCATAAAGGGTTAATTTATTTTTTTCCTACAATAACATTTGTTTAAAAATGCTCCATTTATTTACTGCTGATGACATTGACTTGGACAGATTGTTGTGCATATATTTAGTTTTTTATAGTTATTAAAAATGTTAAAACATTTGTTCATTTTTTATTTTAAAGAAAATTTATGTTGGGAAAAAGTGTATGGATATAGTAGATCTTGTTTTTAGAAATATTTAAAATATTATTATTTTATTATTATTAATCATATTTAATTAATAATTATTAATGTATTATAGTATTATTAAATGTGTATATATATATATGTGTGTGTATATATATATATATATATATATATATATATATATATATATATATATATATATATATATAATTCCTTGGTCTTTAGCTCTTAATGAGTCAGAAATTTCATTCATGTTGGTCTTACAAATGTCTTGAAGTCTTAAATTTAACTTGGGGAAGCCTGCAGAAACCCTGGTACTTGAATGTCAGACATATGGATTCAAGGCCTGGAAAGTACTTAAAAACAAACAGGTTCTTGAAAGTGCTCGAATTAAACTTGAAATGAAATTTGTTTACGGTGTTATTTCAGCAATTGTACAAAAACAAGATAAAAATGCTCATGTATATAGGCTGCATTTATTTTATATGTTATGCATATGATATATATGTTGTGTAATAAAATCTATGTAAATAGAGGTTTACAAATTAAAACGTATTAATCAAAAATAATTTAGTGCCATCCTTTTAATAAACTGTTGACTGTCTTCCAGTTTCTCAAGTGACTAATACATTTTCAGTGTAATTCTTCAGGCTTTTGCGTGAGTAAATGTGGCATCACCCATTTAGCAAACACTTAATCTAGAGACACTCACTTCTTATGGAAGGTGTGTGAACACGGGCAGACGCCCAGCTCATCTCTCGTCTTGAACTCCTCTAGACACACGGCACAGGGCTGCTGTAAAACACAACACAAAACCAGTTTAGTCTCGATTTCAATAACACACCTTATATGAACACTTCATCAGTACACTTCTTAACACAGGCATGTTCTTCGCCAACATTTCCCTTGTGTTTCACACTCTTTCCTATAGAAATGCATAGTGATTAGGTTTGTTTTTTTATTAATAATTTAATTTTATCTTAATGTCAGGGGTTAGTGGGAAAATATGAAAACTAAGTCTGTCATTTTTCTTATTCTGTATTATCCGCTTGTTAAGTCGTGACGTATGGAATACTGTTTCCGGGTACAAGCCGCTACTAGTTTGAATTGAGAAAATATTCATTTATGGTCACTTTTTAGTCCTATCACACAATAAGGTGAATTGTATATGAAATCATAGCGTACACATCAGTCTCTGGACTTGCTGCATCACAAATTAAATTAAAATAGATTTTTTTAACAATTTATAAAATATTAATTACTTTCTGGCCATCGTAAATTAGGTATGGATATATATATATATATATATATATATATATATATATATATATATATATATATATATATTGTGATCGTGATTTTTTAAAGTATTACATCACTTTGTAAACGTTTATTATTACTATTTGATGAATTTCCCCATACAGTTTGATATAGGACTTGGACCCGGAAGCTGCTTCGCATGACGTCACACTTAGCAAGCAGATATACAACTAAATATGGGCTTTTTAAATACCAATTTTAAAAGACGAAGAAGAGGAAATGCATAGTGGAACAAAGTTCTACAAAAATCTGATGGATTTCCAAAATGCAGTTGACCAGTTTGTTTGAGAGGGCTCGAAAATCCTGCATAGGTCTATTTGCATAATGTAGAGTTTCCTTTTGCAATTGTAATGAACACATTATTATCATAAGCTAATTGAGCTGTGCTTTGTGAAGAACTTTAAACCACTATGTAGGAGATCTGAAATGAAGAACTTGCGTCTTTGATTCTCACCCCGTGTTCATAAATAGATGTGTTAATTCATAGGAAATGTTGCCAAAGTATTGCATAGTGATGTAATCAACAGTCACATCCTTTGATGTTTTAGTTGGTGAGTAATGCAAATTTAAAAGAGTCATGGTTGATAGGTAGGCAGATGGTCAAAAAGGCAGGCAGCAGAAAGGAGCTAGATCATTAAAGTTTGAGGACAAACTTTATGGTGGCTTGAAAAGCCGAGTCTGAAAGTTTGAAGTGGTTTTAAAGTGTAAACAGCATGTTAGTATGATTCTAGCTTGAATTAGCATGTTATTAGCATGATTCTAGCATGAATTAGCATGATTTTAGCATGAATTAGCATGTTACTAGCATGAATTAGCATGTTACAAGCATAATTCTAGCATGAATTAGCATGTTACTAACATGATTCTAGCATGAATTAGCATGTTACTAGCATGATTCTAGCATGTTACTAGCATGATTCTAGCATGAATTAGCAAACAAAACAAAGCTAAGGTCTAACACGCAAAGGCAAAACAAAGAAACGCATCGTAATGTTCACATACAGTTCAACAAGACTCAGCAACGTGTGTGTGTGTGTGTTTGTGAGGTGTATATGTAGTCTGTGTAATTAGTCCTGAACAGCTTCAGCTGTGTCTGTTTGCAATCAAGGGGATCTAAGCCAGGTGTGTGAGTGGTGCATGACTGAATATGTAGTTCTTTTGCTGGCAGATTTGTAGTTCTCCAGCGATCTGCATGTTTACCAGTGATCTGCACAGGCTGGAATTTTGAAAAAAAGAAAATTCTGCAGATTTATGTGTGATGATTTTATGAACATAGTAACTAAAAACTTAAAACATGAAAAAAAAAAAACTTTTTAACTTAAGGTTTGTAATGCAAATACATTTAGATCCACTTGTTTAATAAACAAAGCACTCTTATAAATCTCTTATAAAAATATCTGCTGGAAGACGGACTTTATATGACTTTATGAACATTTGCATATTAGTTAATGATATCACTGAAACCAATATGAAAACTGAATAAATATATATATTTACACACATTTAAACAGATTCAACCATGGGCTAAAAACATCTTTTACAATTCTGTAAGCTGCATGTAGATGAGTATTTAAACATTATGCACTCATTTCACTCAAAAACAAAATAAACATAAGAGCAGTGAGAAAACGAGGGTTAAGAGAGCCTCTGATCGAAGTGATCTGCAGGACTCATTAAAATTACGCTTATTAATATTAATAATATTAATCAATATTAATATCTAAGCCCACAGTTAAAATAATCCCCTTCTTTTCATTGACAAAATGTTTTAAGTTTACTAATAATTTTTTTAAAGTAGTTTTTTAACTGTTTATGCAGTATTAAAATTACTGTTAATTTCTGTATTTATTATTACGGTGACATTTTAGTTTGATCTTTCTTACGTCATGGTAAGTGTGTTTATGCATCAGGTGTATTTGTGTTTATAGAGAAATGACTTACTCCCAACAGGCTCAGCTTCTTTCCTGCACCTTTCAACACCACCTTTGAAAAAAGAAATTGACAATGTGTTTTTTTATTATTACATCGCTTGAAGCACAAGTGTGTTATAATTTAAAGAGATAGTTTACTCAGCCTTCATCTTCATTTACTCACCCTGTTTGAGTTTCTTTCTTCTGTTGAACATAAAAGAAGGTAATTCAACAAATGCTGTTAGCTATGTCCATTGACTTCCATAGTGTTTTTTTTTTCCTACTATGGAAATCAGTGGGTTCCAGCAACCTCTTTTCCAATCCTTTGTGTTCAACAGAAGAAACTTAAATAGGTGTGAAGTGAAGAGTAAATTAAAACAGAATTTTTCATTTTGGGTGAAACGTTCCTTTTAAAAGAAATGGCATCAAATTATATTAAACTATATTATTATTATTATTTTATTTAATTAAAAAAAAACACATTTGCCAAGCGAACACATAGCCACACACACATTTCTCACCAGTGGTCGAATTAGTATTGATAAAAAGATTAGAAAAGTCTGCTCATTATAACAAAATTCCTCAACGCAAATAATGTTTTATATCTTCCAAAAAGCATTTTATTTACAGTTCTTATTATATGTTAAGCTCATATAAACAACATTTTTTACACCAAAAAAGTTATATATATTTAACAAAAAACATGTATACACTGTTAAACATGTCTGTCAATAAGCAGTTTTACGTATTTTGTAATTCATGTTTTTGTGTTTTTTTCCTAATTATTCATGCTTTTGAATTGCATTATGGGACCTTGATCTTTCCTCCAACATCTTTTAACCTCAAAAAGTAAAAAAAATGACTCTTATAAACATTTTTAAGTTTAAACTAGGGTTGTCACGATACTTGAATTCGGTACAAATCGATACTGAAATTTTAAAAACCATTTCCCACTAACATTTGAGAGCTGTTGAGCACATTCTTAAACAGTGCTGATTTGCCATTGTGTTCATGTGCTCAACAGAAATGACTGTGATTGGCTGTGAAGCTCATCAGTTCATTGAATTCACACACTGAAAGTGTGCACTTCATTTAAATGATCATATCGCATTTTAGAGTTATGATTACGACAAACATTTGATGTTTTTTCTTTCATAGCGAACCCACAGTTGTGCATAAAAATAAATGTTTACAATGTCAGTATATCTACTCTAGCCTTTATATTGTTGAATATAATCTGATAATGGCAAATGTCTGATTTTACCAGTGAATTAAATTGTCTAATATGACAGATTGCAAGTATATATCTCAAACATAATAATTCAACATCAGAATTATTATAAGAATAGATTGATATAGAATATAATTATTTATAGAAACCCGTAGACCTACACATATTATTATTATTGATGTTGTGCCATATGTTTGTTTTTAACATACCTTTGTTTTACATCTACAGAATCGTGAGAAAATCGTGATCTTTATTTTAAGCAAAAAATTCGCGATTCTCATTTTAGCCAGAATTGTGCAGCTCTAGTAGTTTCTATTAAAAACACTATACTTTTTTTAAAGCAGGTCTCTTTCTGTCTGTTACCGTATATGTTTTGTTAATTATTACGGTATCTCCTGTGCTGTCATCTCTAAAGAGCTAACATAACAAGTGAAACATCTCAGCACCTTCCCAGCAGTTTTATGTTCAAGTTTCAGACACTCCTTGCAACCTATTTTGGGGAAATGATATACATCCTGTTTCTTGATTGCATGGTTTATATGAGTAAATTATATAACGAAGGCAATCTTTCAGACTGGATTTGGATTAAGGCTCTGGCAAACATTCTGTGCTATTTTTCAGTCTGGCTCCATTGTTTTAAACCCACCTCATTGTAGCTGTACTGCTCCCTTGTGCCTTGCTGTTTCAACCTGTAAAGACGAGAGGAAAAACTGAGACACTTCCTGAGTTGAGCTGCGAAAGCTGCTGTGGCTGATGTGAAAGAGAGATGTTGTGATTGTGTAAATCAATCTGCTGCAGCATTTCCTCTGCCAAACTCTTTCATATGCTAACAAATACGTCTTCGTTATTTATACAGCAAGTTGCAGTCAGGATTTATACTGTCATATTAATGCATGACAGAGGCAGGAATATGATCTTATTTAAACCTAATATGTATAAAAATACTTCATATGCAATATAGTTTGGGGTCAGTAGGATTTTTAAATGTGTTAAAATAAGCTTCTCCATCTCACCAAGGCTGCAACAAAAATACAGTACACATTGTAAAACTAAAATGTCATTGCACTATAAAATTCATTCATTCATTTTATTTTCTGCTTAGTCCCTTTATTAATCTGGGGTCGGCACAGCGGAATGAACCGCTAACTTATCCAGCATATGTTTTACGCAGCGGATGTCCTTCCAGCTGCAACCCATCACTGGGAAACATCCATTTTAGTCTACCCAATTCACCTATACCACATGTTTTTGGACTTTTGGGGAAAACCGGAGGAAACCCACGCCAACACGGGGAGAACATGCACTATAAAATAACTTCAAAAGTAGTTTATAATTTAATTTAATAATTTATTCCAGTGATTTTAATGATGAATGTTCAGCTTCATTACCCCAGTCTTCCGTCTTCATGATTCTTCAGATATTAATTCGTAATATTAATTATTATTATTATTAATGATAATAAAAGCGATAATGACTGGGGTAATAATTTTATTTGAAACTACATACAATAAGTAATACAACATAATAATAATAATAATATAATATAAATATGCAATATAATAATACAACTGCATAATATTAATTTTAATAAATATTTAACCATTTTTACATTTAATAAATGTTGATTAACAAAATAATTTTCTTTAATAAAAAGGAAAAAAACTGACCCCAAACTGTTGATGGCAGTGTATATGCAAATAATTTATATTGTCAAAAACCTCACCTCACAAAACTGATAATTATAAGTAATCAGGAAAATATTTGTATTTTAAGCAAACTGATTTATATAAAACTGACATAAAATGATGCAATATTTTGTTACAGAACAATATAGTAGATATTTATTTAAAAAATTAAAAATTGTTTAGAAAAATAAATTAGAAAAAAAATTAAATATAATTGAATGTAAAAATGTAATAATTCCAAGAACGTATATATATATATATATATATATATATATATATATATATATATATATATATATATATATATATTTTTTTTTGTACTTTTTCCACAATTTTTATTCATATTTTCAACAATTTTTATTACATTTTTAAGAACTTTCAGCTTTACTTGAAATTCTAACAATTTAAATAATTCAATTGATCTAAATTCGTAACAATTTAAATAATTCAATTGATCTAAATTCGTTTACACTGTGTCATTTCTAATTAATCATGTATCAAGTAAAATAATTATTAAATCTATATTTATTTCATTGTCAGATTGTCAGATTTTCATTGTTAATACAAAAAAATGCTTTCACATAATACATACACATACCCAAGCACAAAAAGTCTGTGGTTTAAAATATAATTTTAATGCATATTTATTCATTTATTTATCTAATTAAATCTAAAATAGTTAAAACTGTCATTTGGATTTAAACGTTTGTTTTATATACAGTGCTCAGCATAATTTAGTACAGCCCATTATGAAAATGAATATTATTATGCATTTCTCAGTGAATATAGGCAGTATATTTTGGTGCATTAAAAAAACAGATTTATTAAACAGATATATTAATTTAAATAATATTTCAGTCACCAAATGTATTCGTAAAATGAAAGATAATACAATTAAACTCAAGCAAAACATTGCTAAAAAAAATGACAGCCTGCAAATGTATTTATTTATTTTTTGCTTCTCTAGATTTTTCCTTATTTTTAAATTAATATTTAATATTTTTATAAAACATAAACCTGGCTTTACTAGTGTATTGTACGTTATTTTGTTAGATAAGCTCCAGATTTGGCTTCAGTACTGACTAATCTAATGTATATGCACAAATATAATATTGTAAAGCTTCCTATTAAAAATATAAATTTAAAAGAGAGATTTGTGAAGGGTGTACTTATATATGCTGAGCACTGTATATATTCCACAAAACATTTCTTATGCACTGATATACACACATTTTTATACAATAAATAAATCTAAATATAATCTAAATCGCTTATTAATTTAGTCAATAATCATAATCAATCTAAACTGCTCATTTAAACATATTTGTCAATATAATTTGTCATTGTTACGCTAATAACAATAAAGAAGCTATTGTATTACATCAAAAAAGTACATGAGGTATGAGGCATGTGTTTCAGTGTGTTGTTACATGTCTTTACAGGAGCAGATGTGATTTGTGTAACAGCGGGTGTGGTGAATGCGTTGGGGTTCTTGCCTGAACAGATAGCAGCAGAAGATTACACTGAGCATGAAGATGAACATGCCTATGCCCAGTACAATGACGTAGACATTGAGCGGCAGACGGTAGATGTCTTCCTCCGTCATATCACAGTCTGAATGCTGCAGCCCTAGACCACAGAGGCAGCCTACAAACACAAACGCACAATAAGTTTTCATGTTACATGGGGACTTCCCATTAGGGCTGAGCAGAGTTCTTACAGCAGTACTTTTAACCAATATACTGTGTATATTTATGTCTATAAATACACACATACTGTACATATATGTGTATATAATTTATATTGTTTATATTTATACAAACAAATGTTTTATACAATATATTCATACATATATTTATATACACAAAAATATACACAGTTTATTTACTACACATAATTATAGTCAACAATTCTTAGCAGTTTACTTATTTAGTCTCCTAACTAGTTTTTAAGCTAACAGTTGACAGTTTTGTGCAATGCTTTCTTATGCTGATGTTTAATATGATTGGCAGCACGTCACTACATCTGCAATAATTAATTTTTAAATAATTTGTGTGTGTAACTGGGGAAAATTGTGGTTTCATCGAAGTTTCACTCATGGCTGCTAAAATTTGCAGTTAACTTGTGCAATTTAAAGGCCCGTGCACACCGAGACGTTTTTTTGCTCGCGTTTTCCGTTGACGTTTAACGCCTCGTGACTATATAACGGGCGTCAATATGATCGTGCACACCAATGCGCAAAACGCCAGCCGCAAAAACGTAATTTAAAAAAAAACGCCTCATGCTCGTTGTTTTGATTTTCCGCACCACGTTAAAACCTTCTCCACCAATCAGATCGGCATTTTTGTTCACAAGCACGGAGCTGCTGATGTAACAGTAAACAGCACTTGGAGGCGCTCAAGCGCAAAACTGTCAATGCAAGCGCACATTGAAGAAGACGCCCAGAGGTGATATGAACATGGAGCTGCTTATTGCTCTGTGAACAATAATCATTTCTCAATCGCTAGAGCTGGAGCTGCTACTTGAACCATCCATGCTTGTTGTGTTACTAGCGGGAGTCAGAAGCTTAAAGCTGTGGAGCGCCATCTAACGTCAGGAGTGTTTTGCATACTCTTCTGCTTGACGCCAATAGCTTGGGTTTGAATACGGAAAAACGTCTTGTAAAACGCTGATGATAAGCGCAAACGTGGTGCAGGTAGGTTCGTAGGTTCGTAGGTTGCTAAGCGACCATCAACCATCCTGGATGACAAGCTGACAAAACATTGCTGTCACTCTGATACAAGTTTTATTTATAGAGAAAATTAAAAAAGCACTGCAGTGTTTGGGTGCTTGGTGTTTGTCTGAGATAATTAGGTAACCCAAATCCCTACAAAAAATGAAGCTGATCGCTCAGTTCTTGTCACGTAACTCTGGTGGGTTTGTCTGGAAGGCACGATCATATTACTGCGGAAACTCCATCGCAAACAACAAACTTGCGCGGACACTAGAAAAGCAATATGCGAACGGCCCCTAAAAGGCAGCCGTCATTTGCGGTATCCAACAGTTGATCTTTATGTACTGACATGCTGGATTCACCTGATTTGTTGACAAATGTGTTGTGGATCCATTCCTTGGCAGTTCACTGGGCTTATTCCCCTTAGCAAAGAAAATTTCCAAAGACATCTGTTTCTTACTCATTCTGCTGCTTTTTGGTGCTCAAGTGACTGAGATGTAACCAAGAGAATAAGGTCATTTTTCAAAATAAAAGATTGTTCAGACTCAGATAATAATTAAAACAGAAATAGTTAATGCTTTCTTGTGCAGCACGGTACCAATTGATACGCAAACTGGTACAGGGCCAGTGGTTGAGGTCCACTGCAATAAAAGGTAAGAGGTTTTACTACCCTGCATTTTCATAGGAGCTCTCTGATATTTAAATAAATGGAGTGTCTCAGTGAGGTCTGACAATAGGGATATCCGTGACCTGATGCTTCCTCTGAATCACATGACTAGTGTAGTCACAGGCTTTGCGGATTAAATGACTTGCTTTTTATGTTTTGAATATTATTGCAAACGCAATTAATGATTAAGACCAACTTCTCATTGACATAATCATTTTTAACATAATTTTTAACACAATCTCAACTTTCATAAAACACTGTGTGCTTTTTTACATGTACAAAAAACTTAATTCTGTAAGATTTATGAGCTTTTTTTCTCATCGACACCAAAACAAGACCCCACAAGATCAAAAATCAAAAGTTAGTGGTATTCCATCCACCTTTTTCTACATGTTTACTGTATTTTAAATGATGGGTTGCACTTTCGGTTTGGGGAACTTCCATTCAATGAAACTGAAACCAATTCCTCCAAATAATAAATCTATAATACAATTAGTCAATATACATAGTGAAAACAGAGAGGCATGATTGGCTTTGAGCTTTATTTTTTATCAATCATAAATATAATGTTATTCATTTTCTTTTCGGCTTAGTCCCTTTAATAATCTGGTTTCGCCACAGCAGAATGAACCGCCAACTTATCCAGCACAAGTTTTACGCAGCGGATGCCCTTCCAGCTGCAACCCATCGCTGGGAAATAATGTTATCATGCACAGTATTTTAATAGGTCATTAGTATCACAAGCATATCTTTGTACAAAACTCTTTTGAGTTCACAGTTTTTATTACTTTTTAGATTATATTATGTTTGTATAACCCAAAGTAATATTGTACATGTTTGTAATATTACTGCAGAAAGACCCGTTTCAAGTTTTTGGGGTTATTCATGCTCTGCTCAAAGTCATTACATTGACTTTTATTATTTACAATTTACATAGTTTAATGGAAGTTAACAAAATTCACGCAAAGCACTAAGAGGCGTGGAACAAAGGTGGATGCTTGAGGGGACAATTGGTCCCCACAATGTTGTAAATACCAGGACACACACACAGTTAAATTAGCCACTTAAATCACACACATAAGCAGGAAGAACAGTTCTCTAGTACTCCCACTTTCTAGGGAATTCTGGGAAATTAGCGACATATTAAACAAATATGAACAACTGTGGGATTGCCTCCAACGAACCACCATCTGGCCTTTGCGAGAAGCCATATGTGCGTTATAAGAGGACAGCATTCACAATTTACTGTTTCCACACCATGTGAAGTTCATCTCCGTTCCCCCAGTCAGGCAGTGTAAGAGTTAAAGATTAGGACCCTCACCCCCCAAGTCTGAATGTGCAAAGTGGTTCATCTAAGGTGCTTGTATAGAGGGGCTTCCACAGGGACATTCTGATGGGGACGGTAAAGGGTAAAGTCTGAATGAGATACAGCTCCGAATACTCACATCAATATTTTTGTGATGCTGTACAATGATAATTCATATTTTTATATTACTGTGAGGGCAAGGTTTAGGGTTGGGGTGAGGGGTAGGCGTTAGTAAAATACAATTTAATAAATATTATAAATAATACTTGGTATAAATATTGTTTTTTACATTACTCTGATGCTTGTTGTGGGGGTAGATGTTAGTAAAATACAATTTAACAAATATTATGAATAATTCTTGGTATAAATATAGTTGTTTTCCATTACTCTGATGGTTGGATTTAGGGTTGGTGTGGGAGTTGACGATAATAAAATAAATTTAATTGTCATTTAAATTATATAAATAATTCTCGTTAACTTCAGGCTGCCGCTGTATCCCTTTTAGCAACAAAGTAAAGAGAGATTTAATGTCTGCCATAAACACAGGCAATTGTTTTTGTGTTATTATTATTATTATTCATTCATTTTCTTTTCGGCTTAGTCCCTTTATTAATCTGGGGTCGCCACAGCAGAATCAAGCGCCAACTTATCCAGCATATGTTTTACGCAGCGGATACCCAACCAGCTGCAACTCATCACTGGAAAATACCCATACACTCTTACATTCAAACACATACACTGCCAACTTTTTAGCCTACCCAATTCACCTATACCACATGTTTTTGGACTTGTGGGGGAAACCGAAGCACGCGGAGGAAACTCACACAATCACAGGGAAAACATGCAAACTCCACAAAGAAACGCTAACTAACCCAGCCGAGGCTCGAACCAGTGACCTTCTTGCTGTGAGGCGATTGTGCTACCCACTGCGCCACCGTGCTGCTTTAATTATTATTGTAGAATTTTTTTTTTAAACTGGGAAAAGGTTTAAAGACTTGTAATCTTTATATTCATCAGAGAATCCTGGAATAAATGTATCACTGTTTGAAGAAAAATGTTAAGCAGCATAACTGTTTTGAACATTGAAGTTAATGTTTGCTCGAGTCCCAACAATTCAGGTTTTTATAATGATTTATCATGAAGGATCATGTGAACCTGAAGTAGAAAATGTGACCAACCGTCAAAGGAATTCATTTTAAAATGTATTTAAAAAGAAAAATATTACGTTTTAACAACAGTTCATGCTTTTTTCTTACTGTACTTTTGATTAAATAAATGTAACCTTGCTAACAAAAAACATTTAATTCCAAAACATTAAAGTCTCACTAGCTCCAACATCACTTTTAAATATATTCTATATATATTTTATATGTCATCGCGATTCTGGCTCCAAATAAACTAGTTTAACTCTATGAAATGAAATAGTTTATATAAATATAGTTATATATAATAGTTAATATATTAATATAGTTTAGATAAATATACACACACACACACGCATATATGTGTGTGTGGCCACTATCTCATTGACAGTAGTTTATCTAGTTAATGTAACAAGTTAACAGGAAGTATGACACAAAGATAATCAAAATCTAAGCGATTTCGATTGCAATGCTAATGCAATCCATATCTGTAAGCATTACTGTCACTGAAAGACTGACTTGCCATCCATGTTTTCATCTAAAAATAAATCTGTAGACATATCGGTTTTCAGTAGAGCAAAGCCCAACAGCATGCTTAGCACAAATAATTCCTCAATCTTGACAAGCTCATTTTGACCTCATAGTTCCCTTTGACTTCTTCAAACTGGTTTCAACATCCCGAGCAGCAACACCACTTCAGTGACTAATTCTGAAAAAACCCAACAAACTCAAGTTCAGCTTTGACTTCTTTCTCAAAGGCCACTCACCGTTACACCATTGGAATGGTTGCATGTAATCTGACTCCAAGCACTGCTGCTGCAAACTCACTGCTTGTCTGGAACAGGCAATGCGGGGGCTGGAAAACTCAACCTAAAAGCCTGATTCCAGCTCGACTTTCTTGCCTCAGCGCTCTTCCCGTAGGTCAGACGGTTCTAAAAGGCAGCTCTTCAAATGACAGGGTGCGCTTGGCTTGATTATAGTTCAATTATTCCTCCATTCATCCTACTTTTATGATGTCAGCATCGAAGAACAAAAGATTTCAATCACTCTTTGGCTCCGCCGATGTGAATATGCACAAGGTGCTTTGTTACAAAGACAAAGGCAGCATAATGTGCCCTTGATATTCGTCTCGTCATTGACAACGACTCCGTACGTGGCACTTGATGTTTTTGTGCTGTCATACACACAAAAAGTTCACGAATTCTTCGATGATGTCCTAAACATCCATCCGTCCAACAAAATTCCACTCCATCTATTGTCTTTGTCGTCCCTCATATGCTATTCCAGACTTATTTCCTTGACGTGGCCCTCGATCTGTCTTCTTTATCAGGCCCTTTCAGATGAGAATCATATTTTCACCACCATCGAGTGTGTGTGGGGGAGTATTTTCTTTCTCCACCTAAAACCATCTGCTTTCTCAATCCTTCCATCGACAACAAAAAAAACCCAATCGTTCCCTTAACTCATCAACAATCTGAGGCCAAAGCGCCACCATCTGAGGTCAAAAGATGTTGTGATAATGAGGCCGGCCAGTGATCTATTCTCCAGCAAAAGGCTCCTGCGTCTTTCCTGGCCGCACTGTTTCAGTTTGTAAACAGATCTGTGCTCATGTGATCCTGGTTTGCCTCGCAACTCTCTCCTCCAATCCCTCCCTCCCTCTCTCCCTCCCTTCCTGAGCGAATCCCCTCCTCCAATCGCGACTGCAGTCACAGGATGGCTTCCTCTTCTTCTGCATGCAAGATTTTAGAGGAAGTAAAGCCACATGCATGCACAAAACACAAGCTGAAGGTGTTAGACACAACAAGACGAAGTGAGAGAGAAAAAAAATGGGTCAGAGTGCAGTGTGTTTATATGAGTGTGTATAAATATATATATATGCAGCGTGATCAGATCATGTTGCAGTCTGACCTACTAAAACACTGGCATGTTTACGTTCTAGCATAGACTATAATTGGTGGCTTTTCAACAGAAAAAAAGGGGGAAAAAAGCAGAAGAGACTCAAGCGACCAACCCCCAACACCAGCTCTAGAGACAACAGCTGCTGCTCCACTAACAACCATGTGCTCTCCGGGTCTCTGTTTGTTGCTCTCAGCAATCTTGATGACTTATCTGTGGAGTGCATGAGTTCATTTTCATGTTAACCAGATTATTTGCTGGCTATCTAAGCGATCAGGAGAAAGATTTCATTCTTAGTTTGGCATACGTTGTCTTAAAACTGTTTCTTCTACTCTCAAAAAAATGACATACTTATTTAAAATGAGTTGAAACAACACAATTCTTGAGTTTTTTAAGACAACTTGTTTTATGTTCTATCCACTTACATTTGTAAAAACTACGTTAGCTGAATTCAGTCATGTTGTCTCAACACAAATCAGTAGTGTGGAAGCCAGCATTTTTAGTGTAGTGTAGTGTAGTGTAGTGAAGTGTAGTGTAGTTTAGTGTAGTGTAGTGTAGTGTAGTGTAGTGTAGTTTAGTGTAGTGTAGTGTAGTGTAGTGAAGTGTAGTGTAGTTTAGTGTAGTGTAGTGTAGTGTAGTGTAGTGTAGTGTAGTGTAGTGAAGTGTAGTGTAGTGTAGTGTAGTGTAGTTTAGTGTAGTGTAGTGTAGTGTAGTGAAGTGTAGTGTAGTGAAGTGTAGTGTAGTGTAGTGTAGTGTAGTGTAGTGTAGTGTAGTGTAGTGTAGTTTAGTGTAGTGTAGTGTAGTGTAGTGAAGTGTAGTGTAGTTTAGTGTAGTGTAGTGTAGTGTAGTGTAGTGTAGTGTAGTGTAGTGAAGTGTAGTGTAGTGTAGTGTAGTGTAGTGTAGTGTAGTGTAGTGAAGTGAAGTGTAGTGTAGTGTAGTGTAGTGTAGTGTAGTGTAGTGTAGTGTAGTGAAGTGAAGTGTAGTGTAGTGTAGTGTAGTGTAGTGTAGTGTAGTGTAGTGTAGTGTGTTCCCAAGGCTAATTTTGACTATTCTAAATAGTTTTTGATCACGTTAAAACAAGAATATGCTGAAATAAACTAAATATAAATGTTAGATTATAAACATTTAACATGTAAACATTGCTTTGGCAAATAACTGACTTAAATTTGAGCTGCAACTAAAGGCTGATTTATACTTCTGCGTCAAGCGCACATGTATGCTCCGGCGCAGTCTGCGCATGGACGCATGGCCCTTGCTGTGGCCGTTGCTGACGCATAATGCAAGCACTGTGATTGGTTGGCTTTGTGGCGCTGAGGAGTGTGGGTGGGACCGAGAGCCGTGTGAACCCGCTGGAGTGAGTGTTTACAAGTGTCGAGTCCCATGAAGGAGCTCCAGATGGAAAGTTTTTGTTTTGTTTTTACATTATGATTAAAGTTGTTGCACGTCTGCCAGTTCCCACCTCAAAATGAGCAAGTTTGAGCTACTTCTACATTAAGGTAGCGTTCAGAAAAAACAAAACACCAGAAACTCAACACAGAGGAACATAAAGACCTCACTGTCAGCTAGCATTTCGGAAGTGTTATTGCAGAGCAACACAAACAGCGCGCAGAAGTATAAATGCACGACAACGTACAAGGTATGCACCATGGGTCACGCCGATCACCTGATGCAGAAGTATAAACAAAGCATTGAGTTGCTTTCACACCTAGTCTTTTTTTCTTGAACCGGGCATGTTTCCACAATTAGCGCAGTTCATTTAGCATATGTGAGTCCAGCAATCGCACTCGGATACACGCCAAAAAAAAAAAAAAAACAGTCCGAGATTGCCTGAATGAGGTGGTCTCGCCTCAATTAAAACATATTCTGGAGCTAATCGATTGTAGTGAGAAAGTAATACGATCCAAACCAGGCTATATCATAGTGTATTATGGATATGTAATAGGCATACAATTGAAATCAGGATTATTAGCCCACTTGTTAACTTTTCCCCAATTTCTGTTTAACAGAGAGAAGATTCTTTTCAACACATTTCTAAACATAATAGTTTTAATAACTCATTTCTAATCACTGATTTCATTGTTATTTGCCATGATGACAGAAAATAATATTTGACAAGATATTTTTCAAGACACTTTTGTACAGCTTAAAGTGACATTTAAAGGCTTAACTGGGTTAACTAGGCAGGTTAAGGTAATTAGGCAAGTTATTGTGTACCGATGGTTTGTTCTGTAGACTATTGAAAAAAATATATAGCTTAAAGGGGCTAATAATATTGACCTTAAAAGGTTTTTTATTCTGGCCGAACAAACTAAAATTAAAACAAAAAAGACTTTTTAATATTATCAGACATACTGTGAAAATTTCAACTCTGTTAAACATCATTTGATAAATATTTTTGAGAAAAAAAAAATTCAAAGGGGGTTTAATAATTCTGTATATAACTGTATATGGCTGTAAATAACTGTATACGGCTATATGATGAGAGGATTTCATGTTAAATACGAAAGTGAAAGCATGCTAAACTGTTAACGTGAGCTGTTTATCCGTTAGGAAAATTGACTGAACAGCAGTCTTGGTTTATGTATTATTTTTCTCTATTATATAAAGCCTGTAATTCATAGTTTCCCAGAGATGGGTTGCGCCTGGACGGGCATCTGCTGCTCTGTATAAGTTGGCGGTTCATTCCGCTGTGGCGACCCCGGATTAATAAAGGGACTAAGCCGAAAAGAAAAATGAATAAATGAATGAATGCAATGCATAATTCTAGCCAACTTCTATGTATGAGAAAGTTTTACCTCTGATTTATATTTAGTGATGATGTCTGTGGGTGCCACCATTTAAAATTAAAGTGCAGCTTTTCGCTTATAATGTCGTCATAAACTAAAATAAGCACGCAAGACAGCAGAGCGGGACTCCAATAAACCGTGAAACTCTGACCAATGTGACGAGAGTTGGTTAATTTGGTTTAATGGCTTTATTAAAATGTCTTGCTTTTTCTAGTTTTGCTATATATGATCTGAAATATAAAGAAAACAAATAAAAGGTCACAGTGTATATTTTAATATCAGTATATCACCAATGTCAGTATTTCAAATATAATAGAATATAATAAATAAATTGCATTATTTAAAATCAAATTATTGAAAATATACAAAGATACATACCATGCTTGACATTAGCCTCTCAACATTTTGCTAAATACCTTAGCAAAACAAAGATAAGTGATGCTAGTGATGTATCTATATACACTGAAAAAAATTATTCAAAGATGATTCCTTGGATTTACTCAATTCTTTTACGTTAAGTGGTTGTAAACAAATTATTTGTGTTGAATTTAAACAAACAAATTAGGTTAAACATAATGAAACTTAATTTGTTGGTTTAAATTAAACACAAATAAATTGTTTGCAACAGTTCTGCATGCAACACTTTTTTCAGTGTATAAGATAAGTAAATGTATACATACAGGGTTCATTAGACAGAATTGCAAGAACTAAAGAGTATGACAGTTGTGTTAGGTCTCTTTTCTTTTCAGACCAGTCCTATTTCCTGGTCTGAAAAAAGCAAGTGTTTACAGTGATGTGCTCTATAGCGGCCTCTTGTGGAACAAAATGAAACCGCTTCATGTTTAAAGTCATAAATGATACACTGCTTAGCTTAAAAACAACAAAACAAATCAATGCAAGTGGTTTCTTCTGTCAGACCTTACTATAATACACCGCCCATGCTTTCTTTTGACCACTGTATGGAGAAGGAAGACCACCATTAAGGAATCCTTTTTGGCTACCATTAACATTGCCATGTCCATTCAAACCACCATTTTGGCCATTATCACATTGCTTCTCCAATTCACTTTGACCAACATCAAGGCCAGCATTCACATAACCATTTTTAAAGCCATGTTGGCTCACATTATGCTCATTATTATCACAGTCATGTCCACCTTGAGCATTGTTAGCATTTGTGCTACTTTCGCTATTTTTAGCAATAGTAGCATCTCCATATTTTCTCAGACTCAGCGCAGGTTTGCACGTGTGCCAGTCCCAGAGCACCTTGTTCATAGTGTCCTGGCGCCGAATACCCAGCAGTTTGTCTTCCTCGCTATCTGTTTTATCGTCCTCATCATCGCTGTCATCGTGGTCGTGGCAGCTCTGAATCTCGCCGCTAATATCCTCAAAGTACTGCTTGATGCAGACCTTGGCGAAACTCTTGGCGTGTTCCGTGCAGGTCTCGTCAAACATCCTGCGCTCCGTGTCCACGTAGTGAGACCAGTATTTGGTTTTGAGGAAGACGGCCTGCGTGAAGCAGGGACGAATGGCTCGGATTAGAAATGCAACGATTGTGATGATCAGCAAGAACAACCATCCAAAGGCCTGGGAAGATATTTAGAAGACAAACACATATGCATTAGTATTTTTAGCTTAATTCATGATCTTTTGACAGTGTTGTCTCGATACTGGAATTCGATATGAATCAGTATGAAATTTTAAAAACGTCAATTTCTCGTGAACATTTAAGATCTGTTGAGCACGTTCTTAAACAGCGCTGATTGGCCATTGTGTTCATGTGCTCAACAGAAATGACTGTGATTGGCCGTGAGGGTCATCTATTCACCAAACTCACCGCTGTTTACTGAGTTTAACCATAGATACAGGGACACTGGAGATTTTTAAAGCTGCGATTAATCAGCAATTATAGACAAACCAGCTGATCAATGTGACTGTAAAACGCTACAGTGTTCCTGTATCTGTAGTTACACTTAGTAAACAGCGGTGAGTTCAGTGAACTGATGACCTTCACGGCCAATCACAGTCATTTCTGTTGAGCACATGAACACAATGGCCAGACAGCGCTGTTTTAGAACGTGCTCCAAAGTGCATAAATGTTAGTGGGAAATGGATGTTTTTAAAACTTCACTACCAATTGGTATTGAATTCCAGTATCGTGACAACCCTATTTTGACATATAAAGCTATTATGGTGCTCACACTAAATTATTGTAAAATTGTCTTGGTAAGTTGGAGTTAAAAAAGAAATGTTTATTTTTTATTCTCCAGTAAACTTAACTGCATAAACCATGTGATATGCAACTATACTTTAAAGTTTCAAATAATTTTGTCAAAAAAAAAAAAGTTGAAATATGTGTTGTATAGTTCATTCAGTGTATAATAAATTATGATATTAAATTTTCTATTTAAAAATTCAAAACTTTTTGTGGGTCAAATGTAGTGGATTGAAGGATAGTTGCAAAGTATGAAGATTTAAAAAAACTGACAAACAACAAACAATGAAATATTTTAAATTAGCATTTTGGCACTACACTGTAACCCTTAAATGTATAGTGGTCCCTCGCCATAACACAGTTCACCTTTTGCAGTCTTGCAGAATTTTTTTTTGATTGTGTGCAATTTAACATGCTTTTTTTTTTACAGAGCATTGTGTTCTACGTCCTGATCAGCACATTGTTTTCTGTGTTCTGATTGGCTACAGACCATTGTCAATCAATCTCCTCCGTGCCGTGTCTTCTGGACAGTACAGAATGCATTCAGCTTACCAAATTTACTTATATCTTTGATTGCTAACAGTGTGACGGAAGCCCAAAAACCCCATAATGTAGATGAAACATTCTGCAATGTCAAAGGCACCCAAAAAGCAGAGGAAGATGCTAACCATTGCACAAAAAGTTGGACTTTTGGACATGCTAAAGGAAAGTAGAAGTGTTTAAACAAGAGGGAAAAGTGTGTAAATGAAGAGTGTATAATGAGTAAAGTGAAGGGTTTTACAGCCTTTAAAACATCTATATTAATAGTAAAAAGTAAAGCGAACTACTTGACGAATTTCACCTATTTGCGGGCCATTTTTAGAACATAACTCCCACAATTAACGAGGGACCACTGTACTCTTTTTAAATGCAAGCAAAATTCTTACTCCAAATATGCCTGACATGATTTTTTTGTATATAAACTATAATTATGTAAATAGTTTGAATAATTATTGATTTATAATACATGCACACAAAATATTAAACATTTTACTATACATTAAGTGAATCAATCAAAATTAAAAATGTACATTTTGACAATCAAATATTACGTCTTATAATTTTTTTTTGTGTACAATTTCTTTACATTTTGCTCCTGTACGGTTTTCATTTTAGTTAAAAGTCGGTTTAATTTTAGTTAGATTTTATCTATGTACTCTTTTTCTATATATATTTCAGTTTTAGTTATTTCAGTTGTCCACAAATTACAATTAAGATAAATTTGCCTTTGTAACTCGTTGAAGCTTGATAAAATGTTTATTATGAACACCGTTAAATCCTTAAATTATTAATCAAACCCACCTGTGAAATACAGCGTATGTATCTGGTGGCCGCTTCTCTTGACATTATGTGCTGCCCGTCATATATATGCTTGCAGGGTATCTTGGCCAGTGTTCGTAAGAGTTCCTCTTGCGATAACCCATGTCCACTTCCATTCCTACCAAACTCAGACATGTCCAAATCCATACTGTAGGCACACAAGAAGCTTTTACCATCCATCAAAGTCACCGATATCCAAACGGCAGGCGCAATGAGTGAACGCTGGGATATGGACACACACATGTATCGCATAACCGCTGGGTCCTTCGACCTCTGTCCTATAGGCCGTTTCCACTCCTCCGCCAACATCGAGACATTGTTGTTCAATACAAAACCCAAAAGGAAAAACCAAATGGGTGGAATAACCAGCATGCTGATCCCATAGGAGTAGTTATATTCAGGGATACAGGGACAGTTGAATTCGAAAGACGTGTAAAGTTGAGCGCTCGCCAGGGCCATGATGCCACAAATACCATTCATGAAAGACTCCTGGTTGGACTGGAGGATCTGGGCCATCATTCGAAACTTATCCATATTGATGTGTTGGTTGGTCTACCTTAAGATGAACCTATATGGGAAAATTGGTTACAGAGATAACAGGATTTAATGTAATAGTTCCCGATAAAGCGTTTCTATTCCAAGTTGTCTACTTAACCCTTTATGTGCTGTTGGGGATGTTTTCATCCACTCTGGGGTGATTTTGAGTCTTAATTTGGTTAATTTTTTCTGTGTTATAGTAAATGTAATGACTTTGGTGGCATTTTATTTTAATTCATTGGAAAAATGCTTTGGAATTGGCAAATTTACGGTTTTGTTATGTTCAAAGCTGTTTTTGGCCTATTGACCTCCATTATATTTTTTGATTGCAAAACTATGACACATTATTATGTATTCTTGATTGTTGGTTGTTTTCTCTGTTGGGAAGAGGTCAGATTTGTCATTTTTGCTGCTGATCATCAGTTGCAGTGCAAAACAAAGTGTAGTTTTCAGGCTTTTAAATGGAGTTATATAGAATAAAGTGTGTGCGTGTGAGACTACTTACCTTGATATGTGTGAGAAAATCTAAATAAGCAGCTCAGCTCTCAGAACATAGTAAACATTTTACTTACAAGTGTTTTTATGCTCGTATGCTATTATTGGTTTTTATACTCCATAGAAATCCATACCAGAAACTTTTTTGCCTATCTACAGGGTGGGCCATTTATATAGATACACCTTAATAAACTTATTGGAAATCTCACAAGAAAAACAATGGTGTGCTTGGTTTTAACGTAACTTTATTCTTTCATGAGTTATTTACAAGCCCCCTTACATATATAAAATGTGACACAATCAGGGCGTTAATATCACCAACCATTCCCATTTTATTAAGGTGTATAAATGGCCCACCCTTTACAGGGTTAATGGTGCTAACTGATGATCAACAGTAAAAATTTCCAATTTTACCTCTTCACAACATAAAACCACACAATAATCAAGAATGCATGATTATTTGACTTATTTGAAGGCTTTGCAATCAAAAATGTATTTTTAATGCAAGTCAGTGTGGCAAAAGCACACACAAGCATAACAAAAGTGTAGTCAATTTGAACACGAGTTACAGTCAACATTTAAAAACTATTTTGCTTTTATAAAGGTGTGCATATTGACAAAAATATGTATGATATTCATTGGAAATTAATTTAAAAGCGTATGATATAAATGTTAGATTGTTTTTTGGTAATAGTTCACTGTGTTGTTTACTAATGTGAATTTATTTATTCTGAAATTATGCAGACAATGAGTGATTATATGACAGTAAAGAACTGTTTTTTATTATTTGATTATTGATTACTACAATTGCAACAGTTTTTTTTATTTATTTAAAAGATCATCATATACGAACTGTTATTAATGAATGTGTTATGTATTAATTTCTTCACATAGTTTTAACTAAATTGATAAATTAATGTTAAGTACCACAATGGTTGCTTTTGTTTCTTTTATTTTCTAAAACTGAAGTTCATTTTAATAGCAGTTTAAATGAAAATAATAAACCAAATCATATAAACACAACAACCAAAAAATATGCATGCGTTTCTGATTGCATAGTTTTTTGAAAAACATTTATCTTTATTTGAAATAATCATATTTTAGTCTTGAAAAATATATTTAGTTTGAAGCAAGCAATGTTCTATTGTAGTTGTTGTTTCCCAAAATTGCAGTTAGTAATGCTAGATACTTACAAACTATCTGATTCTAATTTCATTCACATATGACTGATAATGTGTGCATTATATGTTAGATAATGTTAAAACTGTTTTACAATTGAATAGTTTTATATGCATTTCAAAACATACATTTGTGTCACATGCACTGAGGAATTCCAAATAAATTAGGTCACAACAACTGTACAGAAACAAACAGAGGTAATACCAACACGTTCACAAACAACAGTCTGAGAGATATCTATAACGAAGTCTACTTACTGAATTCTGCAGTGTTTGAGCAAATCTTCAGGGTCTGTGAACTAGAAGCAGAAAACCTTTCAAAGCAGAGGATTTGTGTAATCGGATTCAACCCTCATACGCTCTCTTTCTCGCACACAAAACAGCATACACACCTTCTCCCACGTGATCAGCTGCTTAATATTTCTTAAGTTGAAAGTCTGATTGATATGTTGATATCATCGTCTTCATCTGTGCTCATTTTGTCTCTTCAGACATCATGATTTCATCTTTAATTTTCAAAAGTGTCTTTGTATTTTATTGCAGGACACAGATGATTGCATGTATTTACATACCTGGTAATACAGGGAGAGTGTGGCTCAGAACACATGCAAAAGTGTTGCCTCTCCCTATTCAAATAAAATCTTCTGTGGGATTTCTGGTGGAAAACTTGAATCATTGACAAGGCTTGTGAAGGACAGTAAATTATCTTTTTAATATGTGATTTGCCGGGTTAACCTGAAACAAATCTTTTTTTTTTAAGTCAGCAAAAAAAACAAAAACAAATGCAAATTAATTTCAAGTTGTTAGAGAGGTAGATTTTGGTAATCTAGTACCAACAGCAAGGCAAGCGCGTCAGCTGCTCACATGCATGTAATGTTTGCTACATCCAAGTTTATTTGGCAAATGCTTTTCATCTCGTATTATTCAAATGAACCCTTTTTCAAGTCCAAACTATTTTAATCATGAATAGAAACTTTGTTTTTAAGGGAATTTTATTTGAAATTTGCCATTTCCATTACTTCTTTATCATTCTTCAAAATGCACATAAACACTTCAGTTCAAACTTAGCTATTGGATACTGATTGGCACGCTGTACCGGGAGAGAACCCAGCATACATTTTTTGTTTTTAAAAGATGTCTAATAGACATCTAAACATAGTCGTCTTGGCTAAAACGAGGCAAAATTTTGGCAATCTAATTGACGTCTAAAAATAGGCCAAAACTAGACTAGTCAATAAATAGCAGAAAGGAATGACTCCATGTATAAAGAATCAGTGTATCCTTCCGTCCATTCCATATCCGTTTTCAATCAAAAAAAAATAAAGAAAAAAAAACTTTAAACAGCCGTTTTTGGGTTTTTTTTCTCACACACACACACAAAAAAAAGATTTTGGCTCGATTTTAGTTTTTTGGTTTAGGGTAGGAAAACAGATAAATTACTTTAAAATTCATTATACACATGTAGGCGGTGCTGAAACGCACTTTTTTCCTCCAATTTTATATATGGGTAGGTAGGTACGAGGAAAAAGTGCGTTTCAGCTGCTATATTAAAATAGCACAAAAATGTTATAGCCCCATGCAGGGCCCAATGTGTTCTTATTCTGGTCCTGCAAACAACTATTAAAAAAACTGAACAATAAAAAAACCCTAAGTAAACAATATTTTTCATCTCTATTAATTATTATTATTATTATTATTATTATTATTATTATTTAGGCCTATACTGTAGCTTTGAAACAATCATGGAAACCAGGTTCTGCTCGGAAATGGCTATCTTTGCTCAGCATCAGGTGCGCAGCAAACTATGACCTTATTTTAATGACAAATGTGTAATAATTTAATTTATACATATGCAACGAATGTAAGCCTGCTAACTGATCAAAAGATAGAGTATGTAAACTTCACGTCACAAGCTCAGAAACGTTTGACCAATCAGAGAAAAATGGGTGTTTGAGCACCGCCTACATGTGTATAATGAATTTTAAAGTCGTTTATCTGTTTTCCTGCCCTAAACCAAAAATCAAGGCAAAATCTTTTTTTTTTCTTTTTTTTTGTGAGCGGAAGAAAAATTTAAAAAGCAGCAGTTTTCTTAGTTTTCCTTTTTTTTTTTTTTTTTTTTTAATTGTTTGAAAACAGATATGGAATGGATGGAAGATACCCTGATTAAAAAGTCAAGTCTAGTCTAATCTGTCTATTTGATGACTAGTCTAGTTTTGGGCTGTTCTTAGACATTTAATAGATTTTCATTGACAGCCCAAGTTTAGCCTTGTTTTAGGAAAGCTATCTACATTTAAATACCTATTATTAGTCTATTAATCAAATTGTTTGCTGGGAACCCTGAGCTCGGAGATATTTGGCCTGGTCATTTAGCATAGAAGGGGGGAGTCGAGATAAGGTGGTCTCGAGAGCTCCCCCTTGGTATAGGAGGAAAAAGATGGAATTTGTTTCAAAAACAAGTGTTAGGGAGGTAAGAAAAATAAGCTTTTAATTTAGGCTTACACCTGTCTGATTGGTTTATTGGTGATTGTTGATGCAAGACCAGCAGTTCAAGCATAGCATGTGATCCTCTCGAAATTAGTTTCACAAACTTCAAAGTAATGGAAATCTAGTTATTGATGCCAGCATCTGACTCTATTGATTAAAAAAAAAAAAAAAAGGTTTTATTGGAGTCGGCCTTGTGTACATGTGGTATTAAGATACCTTTTAATTGATCTGATCATAAATGGTAAATACAGGTGCAAATGGCAAACTTTGAGCTAGTCTAATTTTGACATTTACTTTCCCATCAATTTTTGATTCTCCTAAGTACACATTAATACAACAGGGTCTAAAGGTTATGCAAGATCAGTCTTAGTTATAACAGTGTAGCATGTAGCATTAGTAATCTATCCAGAAGCTTTATTTTTTTATGCTGATTGATTCACTTTTTCGGGGAGTTCATGCATGACAATCTCACAAACCTGCATATCTTTTATGCTGAGATAAGCAACCGGTGTACTATTTAAAAAAGAGGAAAGGGTTGTACCACAGGACAGTATTCAGGAAGTGTGCTGTCAAACTCAAACTTTTGACAGGGTACATCCTGTGTGAGAAGCAGAAAAGCGAACAGAGCTCTGCGAAAAACATTTTTAGCCCATTTCAGTTCAACAAGACAAGTTTGTCCTACTTTTAGGTGGGGTAATAAAAGGTAAGTTTTTTTTTTTTAAGATTAAAGTTGTTTGTTTGTTTAAACATGGTTCAATTGTCTAGTAAAGATAAATGTACACGATTTATATTTGAGAATATCTGAAGTGATATCAAATGTGCTAACGTGACTATAGAGCATCAGTTATTATACTTGATATCTATCAAACATTGATTTTTGATTGATAAATCTGATGTAGCTTCTGGATTTTTTTATACTTTAATAGATAAAAACAGCTTTCTAAACAGGAAGTATATGTTTTTGTTCTCTCATAGGATGGAGGACACACTTCTAAGTGTGTTTGTCGTGGTTGTGAGTCTAATACTTTCAAAGGATCACAATGTGTTTCACGAACAAGATGATGACATTATAGTGAGCATGCAAGACCATGAGCACTTTCTACTGAAGGAGAAGGCAAAGCTGGAACAAGGAGAGCACCCTGTTGCCATAGAGCTGCCATATTCAAATCAGGAAGCATCACAGAGTCACCGCAAGCTGCCAATAGAGGGCCACGTGTCAGATGTTAAACAAATCGAGCCAAATGTCGAGACAAAAGTGTTGCATGAAGAGCAAATGTCCTCAATGGGGGAGCAAAATGAGTTCCGGCAAAAGGCATCAGATGACCAGGAAATACTGAGTATTGACAAAGACAAGTGGACTGTGCATATGGCAAGTGAAGGTCCAACAAATGAGCAAGTCCGCTTAGGGTCAACTGTGGACCAGAATGTGTCTCAGGGGGAAGCTGAACATCCGGAAGAGCCAAAATATGACCGGATCGACACCCATCGTGAACATCAAGCTGATGAAGGATTTGACCAAAAAATACCAACCTCAAGCCAAAGGTTGACAACAAGACCTCAAGAAAAGCAACCGAATGACCAAGATGTCACTTTCATCTATTTCCTCTGGAGGACATATTCAATAATTTCATTATTTCATTTTTTGAAAAGGTTCCTGAAGAAGGGATCCAAAACGCAGAAGATGTTGAGATCCACAAACGTCTCCAAAATAGTTTCTAATATCGATTACAAGACCTTAACTAGCTTCCATAACCAGTGCGTTGTGCTCCCACGAAATCACAGCTGGCAAACCTGCGAGTTCGTTGAAGGTTTTGTGAACGACCTTTTGGAAACTGTGAGAAATTCGAGCACTGCAGGTGCAGATATGGAGATTGAGGACTTTGTTGGCATTGGCAGCTTTTATGAGCAATGGGCTTCAAGGAAGAGCGTTGTGTGCGACATACATGTACCCATCATCCCACCAAAGTCGTGTAGCTTTGAGTTTACGCTTTTGAAAGAAAATAGAGGTTCAACTGCACAGAACAGTTGCAGAATCAAGATGGTAAAAAATTCAGGCAACTGCCATTGCAACAGTTCCAACATAGATAATCCTGATGATGATGATCTGTTGTGTCTCCTACATCTAGATAACAAAATCGATGATCATGCACCTGACAAATGCATTAATGATTTATGCCAAGAGAATACCTCATATCTTGCTAAAACTAAAGTTTTGAAGTGGTTTAAAAGCACCGTTAGGAAAGCATGGAACGAGATAAGCCATAAGTATGATTTTGAGCTCATATTCCGGAACAGGGAGAACCCTGGAAGTCTTAAAGTTCGGTTCAGGTCAGGTCGGGTTATTCAGTTCAGACTTACACCTGTGGTCAGGTTTAAAGACTCGGAGGCACATCTGATGTCATATCTTCCCTCTGATGTATTTTCAGACACTTACTGGCCTGTATGTTTTGCACGTTATGAAAATGCTCTTCTTCAACACCTAACCAATACGCTTCCAGACAACGCTTGCCATATTTATGTTCTGCAGATGCTTTCTTTTCTACATAAACACCAAACTGGCCTGACTGGGCCATGCGGGCTCACAAGCTACCACTTAAAGACTGCGCTATTACATCTTCTGCTCAAGAAAACTTTACACTGGGAGCCTGAGCAGATTGGTTGCAGGCTCAATGATCTGTTCACTTTTCTCCTAGAGAAACTCAACGCTAAAATGCTTGACCATGTTCTAGTTGCAAACCCCCTCATTCCTTGTGTAATCGGACTCCCAAAAGAGTTCACAGAGGGAAAACCCGTTAACCTGTTTTTGCCGCTGTTGTCAGATGACAAGTTGTATTTAAAAACCAACAGACACTTGCTGGAGATGATCAAGAACATGCCAGTGCTGATACAGGAATATGGATCAGTGAGAAATGCGCTTCAACAGAACCACTTATAAAATGAGATGTGCTGAAAACTTGTTAGAATTGTGTACTTTTTCTTGAGATATGAATGTAAAGCCTTGAGTATACTTTGTGGTCTGTGTACTGGACAAAATGTCATTAAAGTAGGTAAATTTGCTGCCCTTTTTTCTAACCTTACATACAACATAAAATCCACTCATATATGCACTTTAAGTTGTTGTTTCACAACATGGCAACACTGGTCTTGTTTCACAGCCAAGGTCATCCTACAAGGCCATAATCAAGAGTGCATGTGAAGAGGTTAAAAGATGAATTCTTGTTTAAAAGGTACAAATACATCTCATATTTGAGACAGAAAGTGCAAGCTATGGATGAGGATCAGCTTTTCTAGTGTCAATCACAGTTTACAAACTAAAACAGACAGTAGTCAGCATTTAAAGTGGATCAAAACAGTTGGTGTTAGTCCTAATGGTTTTTGGGCTTTCATAAATGGATTTGATCAATTTCAAATGTTGACTATAGTATAATTGTTCTTTTATTTGACTTTGAATTCATGCCAACGTACAGCAGATGGCACTCTAGGCTAGTTTGAACACCAAATAGCGCTCTTGGCTACTTTTGAACAGCAGACAGTACGAATTAAAGTATACTTTGGGCATGAATGTTCTTAATCACATCATTGTTTGCTTTTGGGGTGCAAATAAACTATGAAAGACAAAATGCTCGAGTATGTTCAGTTTACTTAATATGAAATAAGCACTTGGATCAAAGCATGGTACTGTTAAGGTCCAACTTAAAAAGATGTCCTACCAGGAACCTTGCGACTCCCAGAATGAGTTGGTGTCATCATGGCCAGATAAAACAAACTCTGGTATAAATGTGTACTTTTTTGGAGTCAAACAGTTTGGACAATGCTTGAACAAAACTTAAGACCTCGTGAAAACACGATTAAGACTTAATACCTTTAAGAACCTTAATTTTCTCATAATTGAATAATCAACCTAATACTTTAAGACCCTGCAGACACCATGCACTTGAATCAAACCATAGCAGTATTAGGATCCAACTTTAAATACATGTCATCTAAAATAAATAAATAAATTAATTAAAAAAAAGATATCCTCCTAGGAATCTTGCTATTCCCAGAATGACTCAATGTCATCATTTGCCAGGTAAAACGAACTCTGGTATGGACTCTAGCAATAAGATTTCCTTTTTACCTTCATGTCCCAGAACTTACTGTTGATCACTAGCTTATCTGTCAGATACAGAAAATACATATTTTGTCCACAAAGTGGCAACACTGGCCTTGTTTCACAGCCAGAAAAGGTCAAACTACAACGAATAGCATAATTACAAGTGCAAGTGATGGGATTAAAAGATGAATTCTAGTTTAAAAGAACAAAAGCGTCTCATATTTTCTAAACGGAAAGTGCAAGCTATGGATGGAGGACAGCTTTTCTAGTGTCAATCCCATTTGTACACAAACTATAAAACAGACAGTAGTCAACAATTAAAGTGGATCAAGACAATTGGTGCCAGTCCTAAATTACTTTCATAAAAAGGTTTTGATCCACTTCCAATGCTGACTGTATTATAATGTACATTTGACTGAATTCATGCCAACGTACACACAAATTAAAGTTTAAATTGGGCTTGAGTGTTCTTGATCATATCATTGTTTGCTTTTGGGGTGCAAATAAAAGACAAAATGCTCGAGTGAATTCAGTTTACTCAATATGAAATAACTACTTGGATCAAACCATGGCATTGTTATGGTCCAACTTAAAACGTATGCCATCTATAAAAGATGTCCTACTAGGGATCGTGCGACTCCCAGAATGACTCAGTGTCCTCATGGCAAGGTGAAATGAACTCCTCTATGGGCTCCTCTGGCAATGAGATTAGCTTTTTTACCTTCATGTCCCAGGACTTACTGCTGATCATTGTATAATCTGTCAGAAACAGGAAAAATTGCTCAACAATTTGGGCTAGTCAAATTTCATTTAGGAAATCAAGTATACCGACCAGCTGGCTCTGGATCATCAGAACATGTAGATGAACAGCAGTCACAGACTGAAGAATCACCATAAAGCTCAGTCCACCTAAAGCACAAAAAGATAAACAAATGCTAGTTTTAGATGCTTTTAAAAGTTTTAATCTCAAGGAAGTATAGAAAAAAAAATTGCATTCGTAGAACCAAAAACCATTTGAGAATATATTTGTGCATGTAAAACTCACATCTTGTTTTTTGCGTCATATGTACACGATTTGGCTTCAGGTGTGGGAGTCTCAGGTCCTAGGTCCATCTCACAATGCATATACAGGGGCTATCATAGGAAGAGAGTTTTATAGAGGACAACAAACCAGACAATTATTATTATTATTAATTTTTTTTTGTTATTTTTTTTTTAAAAGGACATACTTAAAACGTTTCATACCACTTTAGAATGTGTCTTGGGAACCCTTGTTTTAAACAGAAAAGCTCCAATACAAAATCTCACAGTCATGTTGTTATCAGTGTCGTAGAACTTTGTCAGAGCACTGTTCATGCTGTCCACAAGGCATCTAAATAGAAGTAGGGATGAAATGAAGATTGCAGTCATCTTTTTTTGTTATTGCAAATTTTGGAAATACTATATTAGATCTATAATCCCATGTTAAAATTTGTCATCTGTTTAATTGGCACAATTTAGCAGTGACTTCTCTTATGACAAGAGCCAAAGAAGAATCAATAGGAGTGCTGATCCTGATGATGCAATCAGCTCAACTTAGAGGACAACTTAAAGCACAGGTCTCAAACTCAATTCCTGCAGGGCCAAAGCTCTACACAGTAGCTTCAACCACCTTGGAGTTGGAGAAAAACTGTATACTATGCTGCGGCACCCTAGGAATTGAGTTTGAGACCACTGACTAGCAGTGTAACATGGGGATCATTTTGGTACAGTGACAAGCTACAATCTTAAAGCATTAAGGTTAAAGACAGGACTTAATTCTCTCCATTTGTCATTGATTGGATTACTCTCATTTGCTAACTGCAGGGGCTTATTTGCATTTAGATAGATAGATAGATAGATAGATAGATAGATAGATAGATAGATAGATAGATAGATAGATAGATAGATAGATAGATAGATAGATAGATAGATAGATAGATAGATAGATAGATAGATAGATAGATAGATAGATAGATAGATAGATAGATAGATAGATAGATAGATAGATAGATAGATAGATAGATAGATAGATAGATAGATAGATAGATAGATAGATAGATAGATAGATAGATAGATAGATAGATAGATAGATAGATAGATAGATAGATAGATAGATAGATAGATAGATAGATAGATAGACAGACGCATACAAGTAAATTTTACCTATGGTTAATAGAATTTCATTGTGTAAATAGCAACTCAAGGTAACCTTGTTTCATAATTTAGCGTGACAATATCTTACCCATAATTTTCTATGACAGAATATCTTTCAGTTGCCTGAAAGTTTGGAGAGGAACTGACATAGCAACGGTTCAGGTACAATCGTTGGCTCACATCCATATCTGGGCCACTGGCTTCAAAGCATACAGGTTTACCAAGCTCAAAGCTCGGTTCATCCCCAAGCAAGTTCCAAGAGTCTGGAAACAGATAAAATTACAAATCAGTTCACACTTAAGCATTATTTCCAGTTCAGAGCAACACAAGCTTAATTAAAAACCTGAAACGACGACAAGTGATATAAACAATTTTTTTTATGACACAGAAGAGATGCTGGCCATTACAATTCATTACGTAGACACAGATACCGCTTGTATTTCTCTTAAAGCCCACAAAAAAATGACACAGTCAAATTTAGTCATCTGTCCAAAAAGTACAGGTTACAAAGTGAGAAAACTCTATATTACGGAGCTCATAACAATGTTCAACAGTTTGTCCATATTAATTCAATTTGCAAATGCTTCACCATAACCTCAACATTTGTAGCTTTATCAAAGGTAAATTATCTAATAATTAATATGATGAAGTCTAGCAGTAAACATTTGAATTGGATTAAAACCTTTCATCCAAATGGTCATGAAACCAAGACATTAAGTGAATTAATAAAAAGTTATTTAACGTTTGACTACTGCGTGCAGGATACAATTGATTATACATTTTTTGTACATGAACACTGGTAGACTCCAGAAAACCAACATGATCTCATTCATTCGTTTTCTTTTTGGCTTAGTCCCTTTATTAATCTGGGGTCACCACAGTGGAATGAACCACCAACTTATACAGCATATTTTTTATGCAGCGGATGCCCTTCCAGCCACAACCTGGGTAATCACTGGGTAACATCCATACACACTCATACACTATAGAGAAGCGTTTCTCAACTGGTGGGTCACGGAGTGTGTGGTCAAAAAGACCAACAAAGGTTAAATTTTTTACTTATTTTGCTTATACCAGACTTTTATTTTGAAATAAATGCGCGACATCCCTACCGTTTGACATGTGAAATTTCATTTAATTATTGCAACAAATATGTCGAAGCGCAAGTACGACCCCGAATATGTAAAGTATAGATATATTGACGACAAAAAAGACTTAAAGCCTCAGTGTCATATGTAGTGAGGTTATTAACACGACTTTATTATTAACAGCATTTGTCGTTTTTACTTTGTAATATTTCTATAATTTGATCCATTTTGTTAAATGACAGCAATAAAATAGTGTTTATTTGTAAGTCTTGGTGAATTTCTTATGATGTTTCTGTCATTACTTGTTTATGTTAACAAATAAATACAAATTAAGTATAATTCCTAATTGTATTATAGTTCGTAAAAATTTGGGTCGCAGCTTGATGACCACGTAAAAATGAGGGTCCCATGGCCACATAGACAATTTTAGCATACCCAGTTCACCTGTACCACATGTCTTTGGACTGTGGGGAAAACCCACAGAGAAAACCCACACGAACATGGGGAGAATATGCAAACTCCACAAAGAAATGCCAATTGACCCAGCCGAGGCTCGAACCAGCGACCTCCTTGCTATGAGGCAAATAAACTAGAGTCACTAAACTGTCAAAACGTAAAATAGTTACGCTTCCCCAAGAGATCAGGCTGGAAAAACATAATGCACCGTTTTATTTTATTTGTAACTTTGCTTTATTATACTCATTCATTCATGTTTATTTATTGTAATATATTGTATGAAGATACAGTCACCTATATAATCGTTCCAATCAATTTCAAAATATGATGAATTCTTCCCAAATAGAGCTTCTCAAGTCATGAAATTGCATTCATATCGCAAAATATTCTTCAGAAAAACTAAACGATCGCAATGTCATTTTACCCCAATAACATGCAGAAAAAGTTTTCAAAGATAAGAAAAGAAAAAAAAAAGGTTAACAACATACCATCCAATACAGTAAGTGTGGTCTCTGCTCCGTGTCTTTGTAAAGTCTTGAAAAATGTTCCTCCTGAAATAATGGGCAAGAACCCAGTCTGATAAGAGCGATGGAACCTGACATGCAAAAAACAAAAATCATTTAAATTTAATTTAAAACTTGTGTACCATTCAGAAATATTGAACAAAAAAAAGCTCTCTTTTTTTCTTTTTTACTTGGGGTAACTACATCGAACAGGCACAGTAAAAGGCAGTTGCCTCACAATCACTCCAGTGGACACAGGTCTAAAGCGTAAAGTATTCGAGTAAGTGATACGATTTTCATCTTCCTGCAAGAAAAAGAAAATGCATCACATCAACAGACGCATCACAGATGTAAGGGATTGAGGTGAAGTTGGTTTTATATTCACACATTTGGACTTTCTCTTTTAATATAATTTCAGAAAAGAATACTTCAGTTCTAAACATCGAAATCACATTAGCAGCCAACAAGTTTCAAAGCACAGCGATTTTCAGTCAATCAAACAGTGCTAATGTTGTTTTGGCATCATACATGCGTCCGGTAGCCTATTCAAAGTAGGGGAGAGTCGGGACAGTTGCAACATTTTTTGCATTTCCTTAAGTTTCTCAAAGACAATTTTTTATGGAAACCCCATATTTTAATATAATAAACCCACATCTATTGGACACCCACCCGCATTGCTATATTATATGTACATATGATAATATATGCAGTATTTAAACTTGAACAGACAAAGCTAAACGTTGCAACTGACCCTGAGCAGAGACAGTTGCAACATCCATTAAAATGTAATAATTTAAAAAAATTCTAACATCAGGTCGGATTTTATTTGATAGTTTTGGTAGACAGACTAAAAGTAAATTGGATAAAATGGTCATACAAATATAAACTATTAAAAGAACAAGCAACAACCAATTATCAGGCATAAAAAACAGAGCAAAAATATTTTTTTACTGAAAATCTAGACTGAACTTTACGAAACTACTTCTATGAACTTTAAAAAAAAAAAAAAAGTAAAATTATTTCTTAGACTATAGTCGTAAAACCAAAGTTTATAATAGTTGCATCCCCATTTTAAATAGCCGCTTGAGAGCTAAAATGGGCTGTCCACGTATGTGGCCACTAAGCCCTAAGAGATTACAGCTAACTGATTTAAATTATACAAATTAAAAAAAAAATAAATAAAAAAATTATACAAATAATGTTTCACGAAAACGGATTAGACAGTATGAGATATTTACTTAACATAAAAAAAACACTTTTTTTTTTTACCCTAAAAGTATTTTTATACTTAAGGAATGAACACATATGGATGATTTTAGGACGGTCTTGTAGTATGAATATCCTCACGCCAGCTCATTCCTAAATAAAGAAATAAGTCTTGTTGCAACCAGTGTTGCCAACTAAGAAATTTTATTGCTAGATTTAGTAATTTTTCATACTAACCTAGCAACTTTTTTTTTTTTTCAAAAAGCATTTAGCAACAAATTTAGCAATATTTAACATTCATTTGGCTACTTTGACTTCTAGCAAGGTTTGAAAAAGGCTTAAAAAGTGACAAGAGCAGTGGCTGCAGGCTTCACTCAGAGTAAATTGCTAGCTCAGATTGTTTTCATAACTATTAATTTACTGATATTTGTTAACATGTATAGTTGTTGGTAATTTAGGTAGCAATAAATTCCAATAGTGCTATAATTGTGGTCACTTTGACAAATGTGTTAATTTCACAAGTTAAAAAGAATAAGCACACTCGCTGTGATTGTTTAAAAGAATGTAACAGTTCATTATCAGAGTTATATTTCAAAAGTAAACACTTATCAAAAAGGGTTTGTATTATTTTTACAAATAGTCAACTATACATACAAATCTAAATGGACATTTCAAATGATTTTGCTGAGATGGCCTGTCAATTTGAGAAAACATTAATTATTTTGTATGCTATAACAATGTTGTTTTGAGTTTCAATTATGCAATGATATCATAACGCAAAGTGATATGCTAATATGAACCTATTTATTGTGCATCTGGATGTAATGTTTTAATATAATATAATACACAACGCTTTAGAGAGTAGTAGAGACATGACTACGGAAGGCTTGTTTTCAATATCGGATTTTTTTTATTATTATTTTTTTAACAATACAAACATATTAACTATAACAATGGATGACATCAAGTAAAATATTAAACAAGTCACAAATTATTATTGTTATTAATATTATTATTATTATTATGTATGCTGAGTTCAATAAAATAAAATAAATTGCCCATAAATTCTGTTATGTTGGTAATGAAAAAAAAAGATTAATTACACTTGGGGAAAAATCTGTTAAACTTACATTTTGATGAAAAATAAACAGATAAATCAGACCAAAACACTTAAACATGTGGTCATTTGACAAAAAGATGATCAATCGATTCGATGCTCCAGTTACAGAGGACACAATTTGAGTTCGGATTACTGAATTTAGATATGATCTCAGTTGTGGGGTAGATAGTGTAACACTTTTAAATGTAATTCCTTAACTTTGATGGGAATACAAAATTTTCCCAAGAGTCAATCTTTTTTCCAATTTTATCAGAGAATTCCAAAGAAATTGTCAGATATTACATGACGTCACTGATATGCAAATTAGTGCGTGACGTCACCTGACACCATTTAGCTACTTTTCGGGCAGGCTTTAGCTACTTTTCATTAGAAGTAGTCGGCAACACTGGTTGCAACTGCTACATGTTGCAACCGTTCCCTACCATTACAAACAATATATGGAGCGTGTCACTGAACAAATGTGCGAAAATAAAACCAACTTTACCTTAGTACGTAAAGACAACATAAATCGTCGCCCACCCCTCGTTTCAAGCCACATCTTTTCAGATTGTACAGAAAATAATAGTGAGTTCTCGTCTGTTTATTGACAGAACATGTCCCCAGCTTCAGGTGTTTGTGCGCGCTGTGGCTGGAGAACAAACTTTTCCGGACTCTCACGTAAATGCGGTCCAGATGACACAACAGCTCTATCGGCTTCCCCCGCGAGGTATAAGCAGGTTTTGCTACCGGCATTTTGGGGTGAAGCATCTCCCTGACCTTCGGAGGCACCGGGATACCTCCTCTTCCTGGAGTGAAAAGCTCTGTGTGGAGCTGATGTGCTGATATTCGCACTGACCCAGGTAGCTTTAGAAGAGTACGCGACGAATCGCCTTTGGACCGTGGGATAAACTCAACACTTTCAGAATCATCATCATCGGCAACTGTGAAATTGGCCATTGAGTTCCATTCCAGCTCTGGGTCAGCGACAGCGGCGTCCAAATCAAACGCGTTCGCTAAATGTTTAGTGTAAAGGAAAACTAGGATAAGACAGTACAGCAACATACTCTGCCTTTTCGCCGGGTAGTGCTTATTTACTTTTTCAATGACTGTCTTAATACAGAAAATGAAGTGCTGAGGGGATATTTGTAGCGTCTGTGACGAGAAACACCTGCTGCTAATTATTGAGGTAAAGTTGCTTTTATATTCGCACATTCATTCAGGGACAACTTCCTGACACGCTTCCTATATTGTTTACCATGCTACTTTGAATATTCGGTCTGAAATCACTTGTAAGTATGACTTGAAATCAACATAAGCACTGTTTATTTGACTGTGAATAATGTTGATAGTCATTGGCTGCTAATTGGATTTCGCTGTTTATAATTTGCTAATATTTTTGTGAACTTAGATTTTTTTTTAAGTCCTAATGTGTGAAAATAAAATTTAACTTCTTTAGCTCAAACCCCTCTACCAAAACAAACGGTGAAGGAGACTCACTAAACATTGGTAATGCTTGACGTCTGCTGGATAAAAGCTGGCATTGCATGTTGCAAATGCATCGATGAAACTTTAATAAACTTATTTTGTACGTGTGAATTTGTTCAGAATTTTTGGTTTGACCTCTATCTATCGTGATTTAAACTCCCCTCCTACCTTTGCACAATCTTTTAGTTTAAAAGAAATTATTTGTTATTACTCAGAATCTTCACAAAAATCTAAAGAATTTATTTTCAACTTTTTTATCTTGTTTGGAAATTTTTTTTATACGTAAGCAAAAAAGAAAAAAGAAAAAGGCTTCAGTCCCTATACTTTTCAACATTTTCTGATTGAAGTTGACTCACACATGCGGAAAGATTTGAGCAGTAACAACAAAAAATGTGTCAGATTCCTGGTTCTATATGAAGAAATGTTGTCTATTGACTCTGATTTGAGTTAGAACGCTTTCCTAATGCTCTTAATTTATTTATTTTCATACACTTTTCTACAATTGTAATTTACTAACCCCTTCCTATGCTTTTTTAATCTTTTTTCTTTCTGCAGCTAATGTAATTTGTATTTTTTCTCCTTTGTATGTCTCATATCGATCTCCTGATTGTGGTTGTATATTTGCATTTTTTAATAAATTTTTTTTTGTAATGTTGCAAATGCATTGAGTGTAGGTCATTACAACACCTTATTTCTTCTTTGATAATAGTAGTGCTGAACACTACTGAATATCATTTGAGCATCACATCGCAGATTAGATTATTATTAATGATTAAAAGATAAAGATATTTTTGAATATCATTCTTAAAAATGGATGTATAGAAAGTTGCAGGACAAGTATGATAAGTGTTTCTATCAGTGGGCAAGGCCCAATCATGTAATAAGATCATTTCAAAGTTATATAAGGGATATAGCATATCTGTAGCAGACACTATATGTTAGAGATAAATGAAAAATGGAAGGATATCAGATGAGGACTGGGGGAATATTTGTAAAACTCAATAGAAATATATCAGCTCAGCCATATGAAGAGAATTCTGTTGGAATAAAAAAAAAAACAGAGGAAAGGACAGTAGCTGCTGGAGAATGTGTGGGGAAAAGTAGCTAATCACTGTCATGTTTTTGACATTGTCAGAAATTAACCCCATACTGGACATTAAAATATATTTAGATGCCATTTTTGAAGTAGATATTGCTTTCACTTGTCTTTATATTTAGCTAATATAACTTTAGATGGATGGATTAATAAAGACAAGAAACTGTTATTTATTCTTCTGGCAGCTAGTAAAAAAGTAATTACAAAAAAAAGGCTGAAATTTGAGTCACCTGCAGTTGAAGAATGGATTGATGCAGTGCTCACTATGGGAAAATTATCTTTTTCATTAAGAACACAGACTGAATACTTTTTTTCCCTAATTTGGAGTAAATAGATTCAGTATATTTTAGCTATATGCCTGGATTTTTCTTGAATTTTATTTTTCATTTAATATTATGTGTCTAAATGTATATCTTTTCTTCTTAAAAGGAAATCTAAAGGATTTGTAGCTCCCCGTGTTTTACTGTTTATAGTTGTTTTTGTTAAAGGGAAAAAAATACAAAGCGTATGCAAGATCTGTAAGTCTTTCTGTATGGGAGACTATGTAAGTTATATAAAGTTGAAGTCAGAATTATTACCCCTCCTGTTTATTTACCCCCCAATTTCTGTTTAACAGATAAGATTTTCAACACATTTCTAACCATAATAGTTTTTAATAACTCATTTTTATTAACTGATTTATTTTATCTTTGCCATGATGACAGTAAATAATATTTAATTAGATATTTTTCAAGCCACCTTTATACAGCTTAAAGTGACATTTAAAGGTTTAACTGGGTTAATTAGGTTAACTAGGCAGGTTAGTGTAATTAGGCAAGTTATTGTATAGTAATGGTTTGTTCTGTAGACTATCGTGGAAAAAAATATAGCTTAAAGGGGCTTATCATTTTGACCTTAAAATTATGTTTAAAAAATTAAAAACATGCTTTTATTTTAGCCGAAATAAAACAAGACTTTCCCCAGAAGAAGAAAAAAATATTATCAGACATACTGTGAAAAGTTCCTGAATCTGTTCATCATAATTTAGAAAATATTTAAAAAAGAAAACAAATATCAAAGGGGTGCTAATAATTCTGACTTCAACTTTATGTATTTTCATTTGGCAACTCAAAATTAAAAATAAATAAAATAGATGTATAAAATCATGACCATGCTATTTTACGTTTGACGGTTCAGTTTTTAGTATTTAAAAACTGTTAGACTTGCTATAAAACCATAAAGCACTGTTTACTTACCTTTTATTTTTGCTCTGTCGTATTTATATGCTTGTTATTTATTATATCCACACTGTATAGTGGAAAGACTTGATCACCCGTCAATATAAAGTAATGAATCTTTCAAAATAGAGCTATTTAAATCATCTAGTGAAATTATATTTATATCGCTATATATATCGCAGCAAAACAAAATATTGCAACATCAGATTTTTCCAATATCGTGCAGCCCTTGTTAATATTGGTTTGGTTTGAATCTAGGAACATAGAAACTACCCCTGTGTATTCATCATATTCCCTCATGAATAAACGGACTACGCCAAAGGAAAATGAATGATTGAATTGTCTATGTTGACTCTAATTATGATAAAAACAATTTAAAAAAATACATTATTTGAAAAGAATTTACAAAAAAACATGTCTTTTTAGTTTATTTAAATAATCAAACATGCTTGAAAGAACATCAGATAACAGGTTTGGATTCCATAATAGAAGTGCATTAGTATGATTAATTCAATAAAGTGTTTTGTTCTCTATATAAATAGTGTGACTTTTATATTTACAATAGTAGTCAACATAAAGATTGTTGGATATGGATGTATATGGTATACATGTTTTACATTTCATGTGTAGAGCGGGTAGCCCTTAGAGAAACCTCTCGAAAAATGAGTCTTCACTGACTTGTTGAACACAAGGTCAACGTATAAATCGACATACTCTTTTGCTCTCTATATAAATAAATGTAACTTTATATATACAATAGTAGTCAATAGTATATTAATGTATATTGTATACATTTTGCAACTTACAGTGATCTGTACATCTATACATCAAATTTGGGACTGAACGATTTTCAGGTGACATACAATCACAAAGATGATGTAATATTCAAAGAGGCCTTATTATTTTTGAAAATTACCATCTATGCTGTGACACAGCTCTAAGCGAATGTACACATCCAGCAAAGGGTTCAATCTGAAAGTGCACCATGTTTAAAACTATTGATTCTCTTAAATAAATGAGTCGACTCAAGAGTCGAGAATCAGCCTGTTGTTGCAGACCCCCAAAACCAAAATATGAACTTTAATAATAGAGGCTCTTTAAAATGATGCAAAGTTTAGCAACAAACTTGACTTCATGTATTTGGGGATTAAGAAGTCTGGAATCCCAGGGAAGTTCACCCTCGTCCAAAAACAGCACAAGAGTTGATTGCATGTATTAACTTATCGTGAAGTGTGTTGATATCACTGTATTTTGGAAGAACTAATCTTTCAAAACAGGTCTGGGCTTCTGGCAAATGGTCATCTGGATCAGGACAGTCTGTCTGAGAAATCTTCAGAGCACGTTTTGACAAACCTCCAGCAGGTACACGCTCCGTTCCATACAAGAACACTGAAGAGAAAGAGTATCAGTGAAGCTGAGAGCCAATAATAACACTTGTTAATTATGCAAATTACTTAAGCTTACTCAGAAATTTCTTCTTGTTCTCTTCAGAGAGCTCAAAGAAAACAGTCCAGAAGTTCTTGATGAGCTCATCAGAGGCAGAGCAGCCTTCATAGGAAGCCGACTGAAGCAGAACAAGTCAGGTGTGCTATGAAATGAATGTGAAAAGCTTGTTGCAAATGTCTCTAAAAAGTCTCTATTATCCATTTACCTGTTGTAGCTCCTTCCAGTTATATTGAGGAGAGCCATGGAGAAGCTCCTGCAGCTCTTCAGGGTGAAACATGGTCCACGCATCGAGCGGGCAGCCCTTAGAGAAACCTCTTGTAAACTGCTCAAACTGAGTCTTCACAGACTTGTTGAACTCAAGATCAACATACAAATCCACATACTTCTGTCTGCATGAAAAAAACAGTGTTCTTATTTTGAAATAAAAAAAGCTGGAAGTGCAAAATGTTGCCAAATATGTCTGGTATAGTCTAATATCCCTTTTTTCAGTTGTCTTTTATGTAATGTGTTCAGCAGTAATGTATTATAGAAAGTCGAGAGAAGTTTGACTGAAACTTTAAAATGTATCTATAGATAGATAGATAGATAGATAGATTTTCCTACCTGTTAACTTTGTTTACTTGAATTTGACTTCCATTTGGGACGAGTTCTTGCCCTTTGCACTGGCAAAGATGAATAACAGCACAAATGACAACAGTTAATCATCTAAGCTATTGTAGACTTACTGTAAACACAAGTCAACCATTCAAACTATATTACCGTGAAATCCAAATGTTGCAAATTCACTACTTCCTCCTCGTCCTCCTCAAGAAGGTTTTTCAGACTTCTAATGTGAAATTTTAAAAGTACAATTAAAATATGATCTGCTCTGAAACCATTTGAGAAATGGTAAAAACGTCAGGTGTTTACCTGGCCTCCACAGGTGAGAGCT